ATAAGATCTATCACTTACAACGTGAAAAAATATATATGTACATTTATTTGAGATTTTCGACATATAAGTCAGGCGTGCACTTTACATGAAAAGGTATCATCCAAATTGGTCCCAAATTGGTCATAAGACGTAGCAAAAATCCAGAGGGCAGGAGGCACAGTGCCCCTGCACTTTTTCAAATGCTTCAAAAATGCCCCTTTTTACAAAGGAAAGTGCCCCTTTACCTTTGTAAGAAGGGCCCTTTTTTCATAGTAAAAGTGCCCCTATTACTCTGTCAAAGTGCCCCTTCCCCTTTTCACCTCTGATAAATGCCCCTTTCCCTTCGACAAGTTCCCATTTAACTTTGCAATAAGTGTCAATGTTCCATTCTCATGAGTGTCCCTTTCAATCTCTAGCAAGTGCCCCTTTTCAGGAACGAGAAGTGCCCCTTTTCACTTTTGATTAGCGCCCCCTTCACTGTGATAATTGCCCTATTCCAATCTGAGAGGTTCCCCTTTTACTTGGACAAGTGCTCCTTTTCCTTTGTAAGAAGTGCTTCTTCCCCATTTAATAACTACCCCTTTTTAACTCGAATAAGCGAACCTTTTATTTTCACATGTACCCCTTTTCCTTTTTTAAGTAAGTACCCTTTTTCCTTACGATAAGTGCCGCCATATAAAATAGAATCCCTTCCCCTTCTCACAAAAGCCCATTTAATTCTCATAAGTGCCCCTTTTCATCTCTGGTAAATGACCCTTTTCAGGTACGAGAAGTTACTCCTTTTCAGTCAGATAAGTGCCCCCTTTACCTCCGATAATTGCCTCTATTCAAATCTGAGAGATGCTTTTTTTATTTTGACTTGTGCACCCTTCCCCTTCTTATTAATTACCCCCTTTTTATATCTGATAAGTACCCCCCCCCCCATTTATTCTAACATGTGCCTCTTTTTCTTTTTAATAAGAGCCACTTCCCCCCTTTTAATAAAATCCCACTTTCACCTCCGATAAATACTCCTATTAAAATTTGATCGATGCCCCTTTTCTTTCAACAAATGCACATTTTATTTTATTATAAGCGCCCCTTTTTTTCATTCTCATAAGTGCCCCTTTTAATATCTGGTCAGTACTCATGGATCGATAAGTGCCCCTTTTCACATCTGATAATTTCCCTTTTAACATTGAATCGTTCCCTTTTCGTTTCTAATAAGGGACCTATATCCCCTTTTCACCTGTTATAAATGTCCCTATCAAAATCTAATGGGTGCCCCTTTTCCGTCGACAAATGCCCATTTCACATTCTCATGCGTGCCTTTTTTTTAAATCCCTGGTGAGTGCCTCTTTTAGGTGCAAGAAGAGCCCCATTTTCATCTCTGATAATTACCCTTTGTACTTTGGCCCCGGCTCCTTTCTTTTTCTAATAAGTGTCTTGTCCCTTTCGTGTCCCCATTTCCTCTCATCATCAAACGTGCCCCAAATTTAAAGCGACACTTGAAGAGCAATTTCTCCCAAAGCTCTCCCGCTCGCAATGGTAGATGATATAATAATTATGTCACAGATCAAGGAATTTTCAGTCTTCTGTTATGAGAATGTGCTTATAACCCAATCAGGAATGGGTTGTTCCTTTAAAAAAAATGTAACTTTTCGAAATGCGACCTCACAAATCTTAACATTTTAAAATGAATATTCAGACTATCACATCCAACTGCAAAGTATGAGAAGCAATATTTTGTATAATGTATAAAGAGAACAGGTATTGAAATCATCCCTGATGATGTAATCACAATGTAGGATCATATACCAATGTCTAAAAAATTGTATATTTTAGTTTTGAGATTTCCCTTTGTGGGTGCCCTTTTTACCAGAAAGTCTATAAACAACTTTGGAACATAAAAAAAAAAATGATGGACAAGGTTTTATTTCTCATATAAAAGCACCCTAAACTTGCACAAGGTGATACAATGGGTCTTTCACATTCAAGGCCTTCTGAGGCCAAATTGTAATAAGTATGAGGGGAAAATGTACCGAGCTGCCATTTTGAAAAACGAAAAATAAAAAAGGGCCTCCTCCTTCCCTTTTTTTCATCAGAATGGCAGGACGCTGTAAACAAGTTTTGCTTTGTTTTGTTGGCCTAATAATTATGGGCTTATACACCTCGCCTGTATACCCGAGCAGAGTCATAGTGCTCAACAAAGACCCACAGACTTGGGTAAAGAGGTCCATTATTTGTTTTTTTATTTGATCATTTTTTTCATTGACAGTGTACTATTAAATATCAGGTATATTGGATGCTCTGTTTCAAATACGGTCAAGACTGCCGAGCAATGCAATGAATTACCTCATGTTACTTGTCCTAAACCATATCTTACTGGTTTTTTTAAAAGATTTCATTTTAATTTCTATTTCCCAGCATAATTTTGAACTGTCTTGAAGTTGTTTTCCTTTTCTGGAAATGACACTACCGCCCCATTTTATTCTTTACCTGTAGGAATGTTGAAAGTGCTTGTCCTCCCTGTCAAGGAGAAAGAGTCTCTAGTCTTGGGGTGCTATGAAATGGAGACTGAGGGAGAGAGAGAGTAAGACTGCAAAGAACTTGAATAAGAAACATAATTATATCAACTTTAAATTCGAGCTAGCGTATAGCGAGCTGGCTTTGGGTGAAATTAAAGAAAAGGTTGCTCTTAATCGCATTAAATTAAATCCTCACACTTAATAAGGGGCTCTCACAAAAGATGAAAATGGGCACTTGTCAGAAGGGAAATGAAACTAATTAGAAAGGATAAGGGGCACGTGTCAAAAAGGGCATTTATTACAGATTAAGACCTGGCGCCAATTAGTCCGCGTCAATCTGTATGAAACAGTCAAATCTGTCTATAGCGACCGCCGAAGGGAAACACAAAAAGTGGTCTTTGTAGACAGGTTCCTTTAGTACAGGTTTCAATGTAAAACAAGTTTTTAAGGGGAACAAAAATTGCGGTCTTTATAGAGCAGGTGGTCACTAGAGCAGGTTTGACTGAATAATAAACACTTACTGCTTATAGTTTTAGCTGTAAATTTCGTAACGACCGCACCAAAATTTTCTGTACGTGAATAATACCTCCACCCCCCCCCCCCCCCACCACTCCGGGAACCTAGGGACCGCATTCATGTTTCCAAAATGTCCGGTAAAGGGGTACTTTTCACGCAACAAAGTCCGGCTCGTAACACACAGAAAATCGGCCCGTATTAGTAGACACCGGACTTAGGGGGGGGGGGGGGGGGGTGTTTTCAAAAGGAAGGAACATGCATACGTGTACCCTAAATAACACTGAGTGGGGGGGGGGGCGGGGAATAATATAATACGTACAGGGGCGGCGATCCCGGGGGACGGGGGGGGGACACGTCCCCCTCAACTTTTTAGGGGAGATCGTCCGTCCCTCCCCCCCCCCCCGGAAAATTTGAAAAAATGTACACAAAAATGTATAGCAAATACTGACTAAAGACTGCAAAACACTTTTATTCTCTGGAGAGAGGAAGAGTGCAGCGTTTAGACTAATGAAAGTACAGAAATCTTCTCGGTCGCTTCGCTCCCTCACATAATATCCTCCAAAATGCATGTACATGGAAATATTGGGCCCCTGGATGCTTATCTGACCGTAATTAAATAGGTTAAACCATTTAAAAATAAAGCGATTCGAACTAGGGCAAAATAGACACCTTGTTGTGGTATATATAGGCCTACTATTTCATTTCGATATTAAATTCAATAGTTATATTCGGGCGCCAAGGTCCCGAATAATTCGGGCAGCGAGGTGTCTAATATCAGTCATATCATCACCATGGGGATTACGGGCCTCGCTGCCTGAAACCAACTTGTGTCTAATTTTGAGAGCGGGAAAATACACTTTACTATATCTTTAAAATGTTGTTTTTTAAACAAAGTACAAGCGAAATCTTACTATATATTTGGGCATCTTGCAGTTTCTGAAGCAGGCGCGTACGCAGAATTTTTTCAAGGGGGGGTTTTAACATTTATAAATCGGGCCGAAAATTTCGCAACGACTCAGCCAGCCGCTGAATAAGCAGGGGGGGGGGGGGGGGGGGGGTCTCGAAATTTGAAAAATTGACATTTTGCTCCGTTGGGGGGGGGGGTAAGGTTAGCTTTTTTAGGTCAGCCATGGGGATTTTTTTTTTTTTTTTTTTTTTAATTTAAAAATAAATAAATCAGAACAGGCGCGTAAACCCGGGGGTGGGGGGTTTAGGGGGTTATGGGGGGGGGGGAGTTTACACACAAAACATTACCAAAGGGGAGGGGGGGGGGTTAACCCACCAACCCCCCCCCCCCCCCCCTGTGTACGCGCCTGTTCTGAAGGTTATATAGAGGGTCAAAATTTGAGGTTTTGTTTACCCTTTCCTTCATCTTTCCCCTCAAATGCCTCAGAATGTACCTAAGAGCACCTTAAAATGCTCTTAGGTACATTCTGAGGCATTTCTGAGTGAGTAAACTTAACATTTGAATTTATTTTTTATTTTTTATTTTTTTTTAATTAAAAGGGGTCGACGGGGCGTGCGCCCTCACGTCCCCCTGGATCCGCCCCTGGATAGGCTACATCATATCATGTCCTGTGTGGTGGATCTTCTTATCGTAAATATCGCGCTGTATGGTTGTATGAGGGAAACTCACATTTCCCTGGTTTTATACAGATTTTCTTCATCTTTTTCGTTTTTTCCCCCGTAAACGGAGGCGGTGCGTTGCCAAGGTATTGCGTTAAACAATTCTCTGACGTCCGGATACGATCGAAGAGTTTAGTATGCGCAAATTACATGGAGCAGGAGCAAATCGTCCCACAGTGCAATGTAACGGAAACCGTTTCACTATTGACGTTCTTTAAAAAAATCCTACTCATTAAACAATTTCAAATGAAATGCAAAAAAAGCAATGAAATTCAAAATGATTTAAATCTAACATATGTAAAGAGATATTTCACTCCAACTAGAGCATATTCTACCTTGAAACAAAATTACAATTCCGAATTTAGAGCACTCATTTATGCTGAGCGGAGGCATGTTAGTTTGTGATACGGCTTTAGCTATGTACAAATTGGCCTAATTTTGCACGAGAAATGGGAAGGATATTTGATTAATACACTGAAAGTAGAGGGATTTTTAGCATCATGACCTCAGAAGTGGAAGAACATGTCATGGCCAAATATGAAATCAAGAAGCGCCTTGGAAAAGGAGTAAGTTCTAGTGAACTATTATAAATGTTATGAGTGGTTGTATTGCAGGTGCTTGAGTGGGGGAATCCGTAGTCTAGCGGCAATCAAAGAGTACTAGGCCGCTAGGTCGGGCGTAAAATGACCTCAGTTGCCGATGCGTGTTTTTCGTATGGATACCTTATTTTATGTAGGTACGTGAACGAAAAAATAGGATTCATTGAATTTCCTTAAAAATAGTACCAATCGAAAGAGCATGAAAAATACATCTAAAATAATACCAAGATCACCACCCTAGGTCAACAAATAGCGAAATAACGAAAGTTTAATGGTTTAAAAAAAAAAATTGTGTTCCTGCGGCCCCCCACCCACGCAAGTCATTGAAGGATTGTGTGACAACTTGTTGATGAGTTCGAGGGTCTTAGATTTAATAGATAGAGTAAAGGAGCCCGTAATCGGCCAGCTCCCGTTTTCGGCCGATTGGTTGGATACAAGGTAAAATCACTCTAAAATACATCGCATAATAGCATAACACATATCCCACACATACCATACCATGCCAGTGTCACTGAAGAACCACATTTGCAATGGAAAATATATCCTAAAATATCACATTTTAGCGATGTAATCGCCGGTCCCGCTACCCAAATCTGAAAAATCGAGTATCTTACGCGTGTCTGTAAGAAATATGGGTACCATAAAATGAGCTTTATTTCAAGTATTTTTCAGATTTAAAGCCCGATTTTGTGCTAGTCGCAAGCTCAAAAGTATGTCATCGCATGTATTAAATCAATGCAGCCGCACACCGCGACGCACACACGATATCTCTATCTAATTCAGATTCCAACTTCCGATCACCGCTGTGCCCGTCTTCGGCCAGGCGAGCACCAGGGAGCTCCGGCGTGGGATACCTGCTCCGCCCGCTTGTGCTGTACATCAGCGCGGAAACGCACGGCGCGCGCGAGCGCTTCCTATTGACTTTGTACATGCGGCCGTAAACTGAAACGCTCGGCCGATAACGGGCTCCAAAACAGTGAAAATTGAAATGGATATTGTCATGGCAATTCGTGATTTTTTTCTGGGATTCTTTTTTTGTGTAAATAATAATAATATTTGCTTCATGATTTGAACAAGAAATGATAATAAATAGGAAGTAAAGAGTCCTAAAAATAGGATTTTGTCTTAAGTGGCCGAAAACGGGCTACTTTACTCTACTCATGATAATAGACGAGTCGGCAGTCAGGTTTGTGATGATGGTGAACATGTTTATTGAACTACGACGGATACCGGATATATCGGATATCGTATATCGTAACATCCCCCTTCCTCTGGAAAGATTGGGAATCAGTGAACATCACTGATCGATGATTAATGACATATTGCTTTGATAACAATACTTTTGGTAGTATGCAAGTTTTGGTTATTTGCTTCCTAATAAACTTTTTCCAATCAGGTTATATAACTAGGGTGTCTGAACGATTTTTCAATTTTCAATTTGGGATCGTTTTTCACCATTTTTGTTTGATATTTGAATAAAAAAATGTTATCAGAATAATACATTTCAAATTTCAAGTCTCACCGATGTTTCTATCAAAAGTTACAGCCCCTCCAAAACGCTGGTATATTCATATCATTTTGGTCAAAATCGACGAAAAAGACGCCCACGCAGAGTGATGTTGTTTTGCTAAATTTAGCCAAACAGCTGTATCGCGCGATATGCAAGCGTATGCATATCGTACGCATGCTGCTAAGCCAATCCGCGACTTGCAGCTTGAGCTACGCTGTCTCCGCGACATGTGCCATTGACTAGTATGGTTGGCGTTCGTCGCACAATAAACCCGGAAGTGAATGCACGTTATAGTCAATGGCAATATCGCGGAGATGTCTCCGCGATATTGCCATTGACTATAACGTGTATTCACTTCCGGGTTTATCGAGGGAATTGCCAACCATAATTTCAGTCACTATAATGTGGGGTTTCGTTCGTGCGCGGAGATGTTACGCGATGTAACCATGGTTTGGACTGAGCGGAGCGCACGCCCCCTAATTAGCTGATCCACCAAATAGCGAGAAGGGTATTTTTAAACTGTTATCAGTTGTGATCCCTGGGGGCTAGCGAAAATATAATCACATAGAATTGTTCCTTAGGACTGGACTACTTATCGATCGGGGCGTCATATCTCAAAAGTGACAAACCTCAGAGTTAGCCAGGACACAATGTTTAAATTGCTGTTTTGACCAAGATATTTTTAAAATTTCGGGGGCTACGCCCCTTTGGAAATATTGGAATTCACCTGCTCTTTCATATGACACCTCATTCTTGAATCTTGAATCTTGAATTTGTTGCACCCAAAAAGCTACGTTGACAGCTGTCCATTCATTGATTATCACCTTCAGGATCACAACAGATAAAGGTTTGAATCTCGATTTGAAAAAAAAAAAATTGACTTTTTTTGCATGGTCGCGCAATGCACGTAGGCTGCATAGGGATGCGTGTAATCTCTATGGGAAGAATTTTAGCACACAACATCGGGTGCGCGATCAGACACCCTAATATAACATAAAATCTTGATTTGTTTTCAATACGTTTCTTTTGTATTGTATTAACGAATGAGTATTTACTGTATAAATAATTATATCGTTCTACTTTCAACTTCACAGTTGATCTGCAAGATTGAACATAGTTTTGATATAACTCGATCCCTTTATAAAATGGATTTCCAAACGAAACATGTTTGGGCTAGCATCTGTTTAGACTTATAAACATTATGCTTGTCATACCAAAAATACTGTACAATGATTATACATACATATGAACAATAAACTTCTTAGACTACATTAAACTAAGCGTCTTCTGTGTTCTTCTTTATCTTCTCTCTTCTTTGAAGAAATTTAAGAGTTCAGTTTCAATCTTCAAACATGTATCTCGCTGGTGTACGGATGTTGCGTCCATATCTTGTTGTGGTTTGCGAGTTTGATGTTGGTCCTTTAGCTTGAATGTTCTGAGTTTCTGGTGTTGGCTGATGGTTGTTGCCATTCTGTTGTGGTGTTTCTGCTTGAGTAGATGAAGTGTAGTCTTCGTCGAACCTAACACGCTTTGGAGTAGGGTTGGTTGACGATGGAATCTCCCTCAGGTGAGATCGGTTTCGTCTCAGGATTCCTCCGTTAGGTGTTGATACTTCATACGACCTAGGCTCGTCGCAGACTTTGGATACTTTGGCTGGTATCCAAGTATGATCTTTGGGATGTAGGACTCTGACTGGTTGTCCTACGTGGAGTGGTGGAAGATCTGGACCCGCATGTCGATCGTGCGTTTCTTTCATCTTACTCTGTCGATTCAAGAGATGATCAGTGGTGGTAGATTCTCTTGAAAGATAATGACTTGGCAGTGTTGTTCTGATGGGTCTTCCAAACAACATCTCTGCAGGTGATCTCATGTGACTGTCAACGGGTGTTGCTCTTAGGTGTGACATAGCCAGTTGACTGTCTTGGCCAGTCTGTGAACACTTTTTCAACAGATTCTTGACGGTACGAACCATTCTCTCAGCTAGTCCGTTGGATCTTGGATAGTGAGGTGAAGAGGTTGTATGGGTGATCGACCACTTCCGGCACATGTCCTTGAAGTGCTTCCCGACAAATTGTGGACCGTTGTCGGATACGATCTCCTCTGGTGGACCAAATAGACTGAAGATTCCACTCATCACGTTGGCTACTGCAGCACTTGATGTGTCAGTCAGCTTGTAGACTATCGGATACTTGGAGTAATAGTCAGTGACGAGTAAATAGTCTTGTCTGTTTAGCATGAACAAATCTGTTCCTAGTCTAGTCCAAGGTGCTGAAGGTACATCATGGGGAAGCAACGGCTCTTTCTGTTGCCTTGCCTGGTGTTCCTGGCATGCAGCACATTGCTTTACGATCTGTTCAATGTCCTTGTTGATGTGTGGCCAGAACACTGTCTCACGAGCTAGTCGTCTCGTGCTCTCGATTCCCATGTGTCCAAGATGAAGTTGTCTGAGGATATCTTCTCGAAGTGTCTTCGGTATGATGACTCTGCTTCCTTTGAAGAGTACTCCTTGAGATACTCCAATCTCATCTCTGTAAGACCAGAATTCCCTTAGGGATGTCGGCAGCTCCTGAAGAGTTTCGGGCCAACCCTGAGTGACTGTCTGCCACAATGACCTAAGAACAGGGTCATTGGATGTTTCCCTCTGGAGTTCTGTTCTCTTGTGTTGTCCGAAGAAGATCAAGTCGATTTGATGAGTGTCTTCTACTTCGGAGCAGATTGATTCCACTCTGATGTCTAGTGGAACATCGCGTGCTTCCTTGGGGTTAGGAAGACGGCTCAAGGTATCTGAAAGAATCATTTCTTTCCCAGGTCGGTACTTGACTTGGCATCTGTATCCTTGTACCTTGATCAATAGTCTCTGTAGACGAGGTGGTGCGCTTCTTAGAGGTTTCTTCCAAATTGTCTCCAAAGGCCTGTGATCTGTTATCACAGTGAATTCCTTCCCGAATAGGTATGTATGGAATCGGACGATACCAAACACTAGGGCTAAGGTTTCCCTCTCTATGTTCGAGTAGTTGGACTGTGCATTGGAGAGACTTTTGGATGCAAAAGCTACGGGTTTGCCATCTTGGAGCAGGCATGCTCCCAGCCCTTTCATTGATGCATCTACCTCAACGGTTGTCTCTTTCTTTGGGTCAAAGAACTGCAGGCATGCACCCGATGAGACTGCGCTTTTCAGGCTGTTTAAGGCATGTTCGTGATCCTCGTCCCAGACGAATGGAATTTCCTTGTGAAGGAGTTCACGAAGTGGTGCTGACTTCTCTGATAGATTAGGAATGTATGGTGCTAGGTATGTGAATAATCCTAGGCATCTCTGAACATCTTCCTTGTCCTTGGGTGAAGGCATTGTGTTGATAGCTTCAACCTTGCTTGGATCTGGGAAGATTCCAGATCTTGTGTACATGGATCCAAAGTAGCTGATAGCTTCCTTCTTGATAGTACACTTGGAGCTGTTGAACACGAGTCCTTCCTGTTTCGCTGTCTCCATGAGTAAGTGGAGATTCTTGTCGTGTTCCTCCTCTGTTTTCCCGACAATGGCAATGTCGTCTGCGATACATACGCAGCCAGGCACATTCTGGACGATCCTATCCATGTGTTGCTGGAAGATGTCTTGGCTTGTGCATAAGCCGAAGGGTAATCTTTGGAAACAATATCTTCCAAATGGTGTTCTGAAGGTGGTCAGGTCTTGGCATTCCTCTGCTAGGTGTACTGACCAGTATCCAGCTTTTGCGTCTAGCTTGGAGAAGAATTGAGCTCCTGCGAAGATTGGTTGGATTTCTTCCAAGGTTGGAATTTTGTGTGGACACCTTTTCAAGGCATCGTTCAACCTTCTGGGGTCAAGACATATCCGTATGGATCCATCTTTCTTCACAACGGTGGTCATCGAGCTACACCAATCTGTGTGGTTTTCTATCTTTCTGATGACTCCTTGCTTCTCCATGTTATCTAGTTCGGCTTTGATCTTGTCCTTCAGATGGACACTGCACTTTCTAGGTGCATCTATGGTTGGCTCTGCATCATCTTTCAGATGCAGCATTGCTTTCCCGCTAAAGCTTCCTATGGCATCAAACTGATCTGGGTACATGTATGTTTGTTTGAGGTCACTAACACTTGTGATAGGTGTACATGTATGTGTAGGTGTGTCCTTGTGCATTGTGTGGATTGTGATAATCCCGAGATCTGTGCAACCTAACAACCCTAAGATAGCTGGTCCATTCACGTCTGCTACGTAGAATGTATGTGTATACCATTCTGGACTCTTGTATCTACACTTTATGTCTAGTGTACCAACGCATGGTATTGATATTTCGCCATATGCTACTAGCTTTACTGGTGTACGTTTCACTACTTGCCTCCACTTGTCACCATATATTTGTTTGGCTGTGCGTACTGTGATAGTATTAGCGCTTGCCCCAGAGTCTATCTTCAGATATAGGTAATGCTGACCTGATTTCTGTGGGCATATGATGTCAATGTTTGCAAAAGCTACTGTACCCTTTGAGTTGATCACTGTGTGTGTTCCGATCGTGTGTATGGTGTCAAAATGTTCGAAGTTTGATGGACCTGCTGATTGTTGATGTTCATGATCTGTGCTAGTATCATGTTCAGTGTCCATTTCACTTATCGGTTTATACTTTCGACCCTTTGATTTTGATCGTGATTGGTTACCGTGTTTCGGTTTACGGTCATCAGATTTATGGTCATCTGATCTACGATCTGGTTTTCGACTACGATCGTTCTTAGCCTTTCTACAGAACTTGGCCCAATGGCCCTTTGTGTCACAGGCACGACACACATCGTGGTACGCAGGGCACTGACGAGGTTTGTGGATACGTCCACAGTTTCCACACGTCTTTCGTCCCTGGTTCCGCTTGAATGAATCTATGCTTTCTTTAGCCGGCTCAAGCGTTTCTAGGCATTTTCTGCTCGCCGCAACTGCCTCGTATTTTCGGCCCTCTACTAGAATTGCATCGATTTGATATCCTTTAGGCTGGTCCAATAGGAATTTCTGGAATTCTAGACTTGGTGTTGAGGTGATGACTACCTCCATTATCCGCTCGGCAAGTTCAGATTCCTCAAAATTGCATGTTTTGGCTTTGTCTCTACATCGAGTAACGAATGCGTCAATGCTCTCATCTTGTCTCTGCCGATATCGCATCAGCTCGAGACGATGGACCCGAAAATTAATGTTTACCTTTATTTGTTTCTCAAATAATTTCCACAGTTCTTGTGGTTTTTCTTGGTCGGCCTCTGATAGCCCAGACGCATTGATGCGGCGCAAACCTTCGTTGCCTACAGCGATTTTTATTTTTATAGCCTTTTTTTTGTTTTCAGTTATTTCTTGATCTGCCAACACAAGCTCCATTCTCTGCTTGAATAGCTTGAATTCTTCGGGTAGGTCTGGTACCTCCCATTTCATCTCTGGATACTTATTACTCATTGTATTATGTTCTCGTGTGCGTATTGGTTACGACAGATTATATGAATGAGTGTAAATCTTTGTGTTTATCTTAGTGTGAACAGGTCCTAACCGGCTGGTGTTGATAAGGTTCGTACACGTATACCTGTGTACACTCTCGCACCTGTGTGGATGTCATTAAGTGTCTCATGCAATGAAAATGTTGGTCACTCTCACTCAATGTCTGACAGTGACAATTCCTCACACACCAGATATTATTGTTAATATTATCTGAAAACAGGTTTAATGTTCACACCTCTGATTTAGTTTAATTTTAGATTTAAACTTTACTAGTTTAGTTATTATGCAGACCCCTGTGTCAGTGATTGAGCACAGTTATAACTTGATTAGGCTATTCTGAGCAGGCTTTATGAACCTTTATATGCTCATACACACATCACCATTCACGTACGAGTTCATCGGGATTATGCAGTAGCATCAGTGTCTCGGTACACTGTGCTGTATATATGTACGGTGCACGTACAATGCATACGAAAAAGTGCGACGTGACAAATCGCTAATCGACGATAATTTTGCTAATTATACTTCCCAACTGTCGTGAACTGGATCAATTGTGTCTTCAAAAATCAAACTTGATTTCGAAGATCCCAGCAGCTGCCACCATGATGAGTTCGAGGGTCTTAGATTTAATAGATACTCATGATAATAGACGAGTCGGCAGTCAGGTTTGTGATGATGGTGAACATGTTTATTGAACTACGACGGATACCGGATATATCGGATATCGTATATCGTAACACTTGTGACCTTTTTTTTTAGAAATGTCTCCAAGAATCTTCATGTTTTAAAAATTTAATATACTATCTCTGAACCTAAGAGGCAAAATGAGAAGAATTAACCTTTCTTCCTTGTTCTTTCCTTCACAGGCATATGGCATTGTATGGAAGGCCATCGATAGGAGAACGAGGGAAGTTGTTGCCTTGAAAAAGATTTTTGATGCCTTCAGAAATCAGACAGATGCACAGGTAAGAAGCACATGAATAGCAGGAGGTTCAAATCATTGTGTACATGTAGACTGTCTTCCTAGAATTTAAGGACAAACTTACACATGCTGTTCAGATTTTTTATTTTTTTAAAGATACAGGGGCCTAGTTAGTTGTTACTCAAAACCGTAAAAATTCTAAGTTCATGGACATCCCATTAAAAACGTGTGTTATTGAATCAACACACGTTCCTATGGGATCTTCTTCTTCCAATGTAGTACATCCCTCTAAAAGAGTATTGTCGTACTTTGATATCCACAAACTTAGACTTACACTGTAATCTGTATGATGAGTTTGAGTAACGGGCCCCAGGGCTCTATAATACAATAACAAAGGTCCAGTACACCTCAGTTTGGGCGATGTTTAAGCGTGGAGTTCTGGTTGATGAAATTTAATAGAAATTTGAATATTTAGCCTTTAATTATGTAAATTTACATGAAATAATTATCCTATAAAAGGTTATAAATAAAGTTTTATGGTTTGTTTAAAAGTAAAGAACTACATATAGGCTGTGTAGTAACTTTGATTTCATTTTTTTCCATATTATTTGAATGATTTTCTAAGATGTTTAAATCCTTCTCTCTCTCTCTCTCTCTCTCTCTCTCCCCCCTCCCTCCCCCTCTCAATCTCCTCTCTTCTCCTGCTCATTCTCTCCCATTTTTTCTACAGAGGACATTTCGAGAAATCATGTTCTTACAAGTAAGTCATTTATCATGAATGTATGAAATCACATTGTTAGATATTAAATATACAATAATTTCCTTTGAGGTGATATGCTACATGACTATGATTTTGCCTCTTTTAAATGTAAGATATTCACAATATCTACAGGTGCATTCATTGCTTTTTCAATTTTCAGGCTTACAGTTAAGTATGGTAGTATTCATTTCCCAAATTTGTCAGCTTAGAGTACATGTTACAACCAAAGTTAGGAATTATTTATACAGGGGTTCTGCGGTCAATAATAAACTGGATGAGTCATGGAAATTTTTAAACAAACATGTATTTTCAAGTCCAAATGACTTGCAAATCACCAAAAGTATCAAGGAAATGGTTAATGATATGAATAATTTGAATATAGATATATTAGAAAGCTCTTTGAGGTACAAAGGTGTGATCGGTTCACAGCTCATCACGTGATATTGATTGTGAGGATCATAATAAGTATAGTTCTGCTTGATACCATATCCAAGCAACCCTGCGCGCACTGGCACATATACCCATCATTTGCATTGTTTTAGCAGCGCGCATTTGATGTGGAAGGCTGGGTGGTTTGAGAAGAAAAAAAATGCATCTGATTGAATTTACCCTTATGTTTATGTGACAAAGTGTAATCAAAGCTATCTGATATAATAGATAATGAATGGTAGGTTGTGGAATATATAATTTTTTTACCTCAAAGGACTAATATTTTCCCACAGTGCAGTATGCTTCGGGACATTTTTACATCCTTTGGCGGTCAAAATCCTTGTCATTTAAAAAAGATATATAATATATATACCGGTATATATTTTTTGTTTTTGTTTAATTAATTGAAAAAAAGTTTCATAGCTCTTTTTGTGTCTGTTTTATTTCTGTCTTCAGGAATTCAGTGACCATAAGAATATAGTCAAGTTACTGAATGTGATGAGAGCAGAGAACGATAAAGACATCTACCTCGTATTTGAGTACATGGGTGAGTTTGATCAAGTTGTACATTTACATAAAAACTGTTCGGGGGGGGGGGGAGTCTAGAGGCAGACCATGATTAATTACAGGCAGACAGTGATTAACTTAGGCCTGATAAAAACCAGATTTAAATCAGTTTCCTGATATTTTTGATTTTCCCGATTTTTTTTGTCTTCCCTCTTTTATCCTGATTTTACCGACTTCCCTGTTATTTTCTCTAATCTTCCCTATTTTGCCCGATTTTTTTCACAATTTTCTTACTCGAAAGGGGGGAATGTTGTTAGATGCCATTTTTTTTCCCGCGAATCCTCTTCTCTTTTTTTAACTCAAGGGGGGCGTGGTTGAGATGAAAACGAAAAACCTTTTTTTTTTTTAGTGCTCACTATCACCCCTGTTAATTACAGGGTACTGCAGCTGATTGTTTGCTTAGTGTCATTCTATGCAAGTGTATTGCTCCAACCTGTATTAATAGTCGTTGAAATGTTCATCACATACATGTATGAAGTGCAACTTGTTTATGAGGTGGTAAGTGGTTATTGTACATTATTGTGTAAGCGTATCTCCAGAGAGAGAGAAAAGAGAGTTGGGGGGGGGGGGGGATACACTTCTTTAGGATTGAGTACTTGGCACTGTCATATTTTTTGTTATAGCGCTTAGAGACTTTGGTGGAAAGTGCTTTATAAGCACCATCTTTATTATTATTATTGAAGTATGTTGTCTATTTTTTCTTATCATTTACAGACACCGATCTCCATGCGGTAATCAAGAAAGGAGGAATCTTAAAGGACATTCACAAACGTTATATCATGTATCAGCTTATTAATGCTACCATGTATATGCATTCTGGAAATGTCATACACAGAGATCAAAAGGTAACTACTGAGTAGAATCTGTAAAATTGTTTTTGTGTCATGTATTCAGTATTCCATACACCACATTTACCTTGGAAGTACTTGTTAGAATTTTTAATTTTTTTTTAAACCGGTAATACAAAATTTCAACATCGATGGTATGTTAATCAAACTGCAGAATTTCCTGGCCGAATGAATGCATCATTTAACCAAAATTTGTTCATAAATTTGTGTAGTTTTGTTTAACAAATGTTTGCAGCACTTGGCAAAAACGTCTTTTCTTTAAAATGAAAATAAAGACTTTGCAGGATATGAGTTTGATTATTAGATTTTAGAGGAAATACTGTGTGAGCCAAAAAAAAATTTACACCTAGAAAATTGCTAATTATTTTAAGAATCATCTATGAACAGTAAATTATGATACATCTTATGAAAGAGCGTTTTATCCCAAATCAAGTGGTATCATTTTTGTGTGGTATGGGTTCACGCTTGGATGAACAGGAGGCATTGTTTGCAAGAGTGCAAAAATCGACTTGCGCCAAAGTGATGCCTACAGTATGTGATATGTTGGGATTAAAGTGAGAGACTGAATTGAATGAATGTATCAAATGAGATGCATTGCATATATATGCTTTTTGCAGAAGCAAAGTCACAAACACAAACACACACACACGCACCCTAGTTCGTTCATATTTGATACGTGTGGCATGATTAATTTTGTTAAGGATGTTATTTGGATCTGCAATGACCGAATTAATACCCAAATCCCAATTGTTTTATGCAAACATCACATACGCAACTTTGGCGCAAGTCGGTTTTTGCAGAATTGGTTGAGAATATTCATGTGACTTTTGAATATTGAATGCCAGCATTAGAAACAAATTTTCTCTGTATTCTTCTTTCCTCTTCAGCCATCAAACATCCTGCTAGACACAGAGTGCTTTGTGAAGGTTGCTGACTTTGGTCTCGCCCGTTCAATAACCCAAATTGATGCTGTTCTGAGCGAAGACAATCCTGCCCTGACAGAGTATGTGGCAACAAGATGGTACAGAGCACCAGAGATCCTTCTAGCTTCTAAAAGGTGATGGTTTGGAATGATACTTAAAGCCCCACTGCAGTACATATAGCTACTTGCGCCCTCTATATAGCAAATGATGCCTTATCAGTGCCTGTTGGTCCCCCATGATCCACTTTTTCTTATGTGAATTGAGAGCTGATTTGATGAGATAACCACCTGTCAGTGACCTTGCAGGGAGGTCTAATCCCCCTGGCCAAACTAGTGCAGACAGGCTTTAATCACTGATTAGTTCCATCTCTCTATTCTTCTTCATTTCCCTGTCTCTTTCTGCCCATCTAATGGATATATACAGTGAAACCTGTATATAGAGACCACTCAAGGGAGACAAGGAAAGTGGTCTTTATAGGCAGGTGATTTTAATGTACAGGTTCCTTTAGTAAGGGTTTCAATGAGAAATAATTTTCATGGGAACGAGAAATTGAGGTCTTTATAGACAGATGGTCTTTCTATACAGGTGGTCTCTAGATCAGGTTTCACTGTACATATTTATCTGTCCCTAATACATTCATCTCTTCCCTTATATCTTTCTTTCCTCATGTATTTCTTAACAGTGTCTCTGTGTCTACCACTCTGTGCTCCATTCTCTTTCTCTGAAACACAAGCAGCTTTTCACAAAACCATCATTAGCACAAGTTTGCCGACATCCCATTGAAATGCATGTTAATTGTGAAACACACGTTTCAATGGGATGTCCACGAACTTGTTCTTGCATGTCAATGTATGATGGTTTGTGAAACAATACACAGTTTGCCTTCATGTATTTTGTCTTGTATAAGTTTCGATTTTGTTGTTGTTATTATTGTTGTTTATATTGCTGTCGCTGTTGTTGATGTTGTTATTGTTGAAGAAGAAAAAACTGAATAAATTTCTGTGGTATGCATATTTTTGTTGTTGCAGATATACCAAGGGAGTAGACATGTGGAGTGTAGGCTGCATCATTGGAGAGCTTCTCAAAGGGAAGCCCATGTTTCCTGGTTCATCCACATTCAACCAGCTGGAGAGAATTATGGCCATCATTGACCCGCCCACCAAGAAAGACATTGAGGCTATCCAGTCGGACTATGGAGCTACGTTTGTAGACATGTCAAAACTCAGGTAAGAATGCAGATGATTTGTAAGGCGGCAAGCTTGTGCTGGTATTTCAGGTACCTGTTTCACAAAACTTGTCATCAGTGACAAATGACAGTTTTTGTTATAAGCTAATGAAATCCTTGCTTCTAATTGGTTATCAGCAGATTTGTCACTGATTTTTGTCATTTTTAATTGTAAAAAGGCTTTGTGAATCCGGTCCCAGTTCTGTTTGTAATATGTGTCTGCTTTTCAAATACATGATCACAGTATACTCTATGTATACATCTTCTTCAATTCAAAACTGAATAAATGATGTCAATATTGAAAAATAAAAACATATTGTAGTGTTGCACTGTTGATGTATTGATTTGTACTGTATGCACTGTATAGACAGCTGTGTATACACAGTTTTTTATAAGCCTATAAGACAGGTTTCATTGAATTGAACTCTTAGATAGAGTCACAAGTTTGGTTCAGTTTTTAGTTCCTATCTGTGTACTCTAGAATTAATCTAAAATCAGAAATGAAACATCACATTCCTTGCTTTTTCCGTTCGTTGCAAGTAGAACAATATACATGAGGCCTATTATTGTTATTCTTTCCTTGAACTAATTTTTGATTCTTTTTCATATTGATGTATTTGTAAGTTTTCTTTATATCTTTGAACATTTCAAGTTTGTAATCTTTGTTTGTATCAGTCTCCCGACTGTTTTAACAAAGAATTTTGATTCAATAAACTGAAATGAATGAATAAATTAATTAATATATCAAGTTTCAATCTCTCTTTTTTGTTGCTTACTGAATTGAACATTTTCTTCATTCTTTTTGTTCTTGTTCACCAGGCATAGACAATCAATTGAGGAAGTACTACCGGGGGCCCCAGCTGATGCAATAGACTTGGTCAGAAAACTGTTACATTTCAACCCAGACAAGAGACTCACTGCCAAACAAGCTCTGTCACATCCATATGTAGCAAGGTATGTATATAGTGGTTAAGTGTGACATCATCAAATATCTATTTTGGGAATTTCTCAATTTTCTTCATTTTTCTGAAAGAGCATCAAAAATAATGTCTGAATGTCGAAAACCAATTGAATATGTTAAGTAGTGGCTGAGAGTTGACCATCTGAATAAAAAGATTTACTGTTGGAACTCAGTGTTATATTGCTGTGGTTCCTAATGCTCTGTGGAGCAAGCGAAATTAAATCCCATTTATTAGGAAACTTATGATAAACCTGTAAAGATGAAATTTGTTTCATGTGAGCCTGCCTTAGGATAGGTCATAGATGTTGCTTCTTCAGATTCACTTTTCATAAGGTCTTTCATATCCTCTTTTAATGCTTCAGATTTCGAAACAAACCTGGAGAGATATTTCTAGACTATGATGTAGTCCCACCCTTAGATGATGATGTGCAGCTCTCTGTTAATGAATATAGGTCAAAACTATATGAGGTAAGCAAAGCATGTGCAGCTCTCTGTAAAGAAATACAGGTCAAAACTATATGAGGTAAGCAAAGCATGTGCAGCTCTCTGTTAATGAATACAGGTCAAAACTATATGAGGTAAGCAAAGCATGTGCAGCTCTCTGTTAATGAATACAGATCAAAACTATATGAGGTAAGCAGAGTATGGGAGTATTTATCATAACCTTTCACATGGTAGTACACGAACAGAAGACTGTGCTCTCTTATTTCCTCAAGTGCTTCTTTTAAATATTTACCTCTAAAAATACTATGTTATTGAAGAGCCTTTGAAATCAGGGGGGTGGGGTGGGGGCATCATGACCACCCCTCAAAGATTTCCGCCACGTTAAAGACCATTCTATGCGAAATTTTGCTCTCATTTCCAAAATTACGTAAAAATAAATACCAAGATTCCATTTTCAAATCTGTTGAAAATCACTGATTCTGACATTTATAATTTATGTGCTTCTTTTACATATTTACCTCTAAAAATACTATGTAATTGAAGAGGCTTTGAAAACAAAGGGGGTGGGGGTCTCCATGAACCCCCCCCCCCCCCCCCCCATGAAGTATTATGTACATTACTATCCTTTTTTTCTCTTTCCCATTATTCCCGCTCTGTTCTCATGCATGTATGGATTAACTTCCTCTCTTCATTTCTGCCCAGATGATGAAAGAGAAGAAAGCCCGACACCGTCAGCAGCTGAGGGAAGCCCAGCAAGCCCAGAGGAGAGGGAGCCAATCCTCTACCCCACCCTCAGAGCAGGGTAGTCCTATGGTCAACGGCTCTACAGCCTCAGCCAGGTCTAACCAGGCTGCCAGCAGCAGAGGCACTAGTCGACAGAGACCAGCTGCTGCTGTCGGGCCTGGAGGAGCTGCAGCAGCACCTCAAGCACCAACGTCAACAACATACACAAATTACGCGGGTATGTTAGACTCTAATTTTGGTTGCATGTAATCTCATTCAGACAAAGCAGGTTATACTGCTTCAAAGAGAAAAACTTGATAGATAAATTTTATAATTTTAAAGGATTGACAAGAGGCAATGTTGTAAGGGTATCAGACCTGCCAACCAGTACGATTTAGTAGTATTTCGTACGATTTTTAAAAGCAAATACGACAGTACGATTTTCCTCAATAAAATACTATTTTCCAATTTTTAAAATTTTAATTTGTGTGTGTGCCATATTTTCAATGGCAAACTGCCCATTCTGTCCTGTAAAGTATCCTACAAGCATCTCACATCGGCAATTTGGGGATGTTCATTGGTTCATCGAACACACCGGTCGTGACAAAATCATGCATATTCAACCAATGATCCTTAAAAAAATTCTTCCTGTATGTAGGAACTGTAAGAGGCATTGATCCGCGTAACAGTCCGCGTTTATTTTTAAGAATACAACTTTTGTCAGTAAAATACAACTTTTGGGATTAAAGAATACAGTTTTTGAACTCCAGAGGTTGGCAGGTCTGGGGTATAGCAGTAGTTAGTTGCAATGTCCTCTACATGTACACCCTGATATGTATGTGATGATATACAGAAAAGAAAATCATACTATCCTTGTTTCATTCATTTTGCACTGGTAGTTATTTTTAAGCACTTCTGTCACATGTCTCGGTGGTGATTAGTTTTGCAAGGATATATGGGTTTTGGTACTGTATGTGTTGGATTATTTTGCATTAAAATGTGAGTATCTTGCTGGAATTTGAACCACCATTTGTAGAATAGTACATGTAATTCCTATTTTTTTGCCCGCACGGTCATGATATAAGCTCTGGAGTCCTCTTCCCCTTGCAATCTTCTGTATAAAATACATTGTTTCTATTTTGCCTTGAGAGATTCCAAATTTTTCCTTTGGAGGGTTGCTGGGCAGCTATGCAAGTAAGTGCACTTGACTTGTGGCTGTTAACTGAAATTCAACACATTTGGACGTATATGGTATTGGATACAATTATCTATAATTTTTCTGTCAAGTTCATCATGTACTGCAGGTCAAGAATCTAGGCCTCTGATTGGTAAAAAGTGTGGGCATCAAGATCGCTTCTAACTGCGTATCAAAAAACAAAGTACCTTGTGTTAAATAAATGGCATTAATTAAGTAAAGCACGTACAGCTTCTATTTGAATGTGTGAAGGTAGATGCCTCACTGTATTATAAATAGTATGAATTCCCAGGGTCTTTTTTAGATAGATTTGCACACCTTTGTGTTGTAGATATCAATGTTGTGTTACAGCAAGTTCCTCTAAGCAGCAAAAAAGATTTAGAACCTCACATATCTTAATAATAGTGTGTTTCATTGTGTATTTCTTTGATTTCTATTTTGTTTGCATGTTTATTGTCTGGTATACCTGTGTTCTGTGCTGTGCTGATACCATTGCTTACTGTGCCTCTCTCTATGTGCTGTCTTGATGTTGGCTTGCTGTGATGTAGCCGAGGCAAGGAAACATAGACCCCCCTTGAGCTCCGCCTCGGGGAACGGCCACACCCCCAACAAGCGCCTACACCATACCTCCAGTGCCCCCGTGTTGCATGCAGGTGAAACACCATGAATATTATACAGTAGGCTTGGAGTTTTGGGGAGTCCTGAAAAGGACTCTGGGTAATCTTTCTTTCTTGAGTGTGTGTAGTCCTGAAAAAGACGGTTGGTTATCTTTCTTATTATATATTTTTAGGGAGAACTATAGCGCTGGAGAGGATGGGTGGTAGGAGCATGAATATTGCTGGGGGGTGGTTAAGGGATTAAATTTTCTTTTTCATTCCCCACCTCACAACATAATGCTATATTGAATATGCCATTGTAATCATGCTTTATTTCATTATCTATTATATTTGATGTGTCGTAACAAAGTGAGCTTTACCATCAAAGGTAAATTTTGTGAACGGTACATGTATTATAATAATAATATTTCGTTCTCATATAGCGCTTTTTAGGCCCTCTCAAAGCGTTTTACAGATATATATCATTACCCTGGTCATCGGATTCAGGTTTACCTGCACACAATGTATGCACATTCTCCACTCCCTGGGGAGCATTCCAGCCAGGCATCATTTTTACAAGCGCACACTTACATGCGTATACTTAGCTCATCAGTTGATGCTCATGATTATAACCAGGTATATTTTTGTGATTTGCAGGTGTAGCCTTCGGGAGGTCAACGGCAGACCCACCTCCTGTGGCCATGCAGAGGAAAAACTCAGTCAGACAAAACTTACAGAGACAAAATAGTGTAGAGAACATTGCTGCAGTGAGTATTACTCAATGATAGACTTATTTAAGTTTTCAAGTTTATGACAAATATTTACGTTGATTTGAGAGGAAGAATACAGAGAATAATGAAAAGATTGAGAACAAGAACAGCAAAGTAATGGAAAAATGTGGAGGGGTTTTATACTGAGAAGATTATAGCTTGTAAAATGTAGACCCAATTAATGAAATGAAAACCGTTAAAATAATGTGTTATGCTCTGTGTAAAAACATAATTGTATTACTATCGTCATGACTTGTTCTGTACAGGGTCAGTACAATGGCAATGAGAACCAGTACCAGTCATCAGGCATTGGTCAGCAACGTCCATCATCTGGTCATCACCAGCGCACCAGGTCATTCTCAGCTGGCATACGCAATAGCACCATCACTAGGGATACAAAGGGTCAGCATGGAGGGAGTCTAGCCGTGTCAAGCTCAAGACTAGTAAGTTATCATCTTAGGGCGTAAAAAAAAAAGATGTTGTATTGCCCTTTGCGATCGACCCAAAAATCTAGAAATCCACGGTCGACTTTTTTTTTGTATTAAAGCATTCAAAACTGAGAAATAACAGCCCAAAGAGGGGGAAGAAAAAAAGTTTTTAAAAAAAAATTCCGACCGACCGACCAATGTTTTGGCACCTAAAGGTCAATGCAACATCTTTCTTTTTTTTAGGCCTAGTTATGAGGAGCAAGTGCTCTACAGGTGCAATCACATTGGTAGAAAATTTCAGGAAGTGTGATTCCCAGAGTTAATGCTTGTGTGAACACAACATTCCTGTCAGCAATTTTTTTTTGGAGATATTTCTCTTGAATTTGATTCTTGAATTTGTTACTTCCGTAAGGTGATGCGCGTTATGGTTGGAACTATCAGGGAGTCCTGTTTCCATTGCAAATTTTAACCTTTGGTTGTTTAAAAGTTCCATTATGTAATGTTTAATTATTTTCCTCCCCTCTGTGAGCAATGGATAATCTAGGTTGATTCACTTACCTGTGCATGCACCTTTGTGATAAGATAAACAATACACTGGTTCACAAATCTCCAAATTTGAATGATGAAATGCAATTTGATGGGGGAAAAAATGGAGATTTAGATCTCAAACTGGTTTAGCCAAATGTATATCATGTTTTAGATGTGCCATGATATGTCTCTATCTTCTTATATCTGTCCAGGGGAGTGTATCACAAAGACTGAGATCAACTTTAAGTTGGACTTAACTATGACAGGCTGTTCATGCCACTGTTTTCTCTCACCGTTTACTGGCACTGATCTCTCAAGAGACGTACAAATCATGGTCACAAATCTACAGAATTTACATTCTTTGATAGTTCATTATTATAGGAAAAAATATTATCTAAAGATCATAATGGTGAGAGCAAACAGTGGCATGAACAGCCTGTAATAGTTAAGTCCAACTTAAAGTCGATCTTAGTCTTTGTGTAACACTCCCCAGGAATTATTCTAGCTATTATGAGTCATACCGGTAAGGATACAGTAAAACAAATCTAAGTAATTTCTTCCTGCTTTCCTCCAGTGAAAGGAAACATCCGACTCCCTGGTAGGTTGTGTAATGCAGTTTCACAATTCATCTCCATCTCCATCTATCTTGTGTGATTTCAGTGTTCTTTTTAATCACCTGATACCTTTTTAATCACCTGATACCTTTTTAATCACCTGATACCTTGCAGTGAGTGCATTCATTGTATGGATTCATGTCAAACTTGGGAAATTAACTCATGATGTGTACATGTTCACCTGTATCAGGGATGAGAATCCTCCGCCGATTTCAAGACGGGGAAAAAAAACTTAAACTTTCAGATTATCATTAATTGTATATCTAGCATTGACCACAGTACTACCTTAACAGCATTTTTCTCTCATCTGAACAATGTTATAGAGTCCCTTTAAGCAAGATGGGGTAACAAATATTTCTCAAGTTTTGAATTAAAGCAAGGAAAACGTATCCTTTTACGTACATATATTCTAAAGTTGTCTGCCCCTGCCAGGCCAGGGGCATTGCCCCCGGGCCCCATTTAATCTTCCTCCTTTTTGGAAATTTCTCTGTTGCCATCCCTGTTGTATGCTACAAGAGTTATTGCTGTTCAATCCATGCGATAGAGACAGGGCAATTATAAATCACACTTTGGGAGCGATACGTAAGAGGGTCTGAAAATTGGACAGATATTGTCATCACGTACCCAACAGAATGCAGCAAATGGATGTATGACCAGTGGATAGATGTACATTACTAGAAAGACACATTTTAAGAGTTGCCAAACAATATGTATATAACACATTTCAGTTTGCATATCATCTGAATTGTCAGCAGTGATGGGATGTCTTTCTTTTTTTCTTTTTTTTTTAAACTAAAAAATTGAAAAGTTTTGAGAACCAACAAATATCAGCGTCCTTCTGCTGAGGGGGCTTTTTTTCTTTCTTTCTTGTAATACTGTCCAGTAATGCAGTGTAAACTTACATTTCATTAAAGTTTGAAACAATATATTGTTTGTTATTTTCACTGGGTGGATTTTTGTCATGGTAAATTATATTCTCTTTGTTTTTCTTCTCATCATTAAATAATTCCTGTAAAGCTAGGAACTTTTGAGGGCATGAAATGTTTGCAAAATTCATTGGTGGGTCATATTCCCTAGTTCCATGACTCTTTGAATTGAATCACAATTGACACAAACACAAAATTGTTGCAATTCACTCAAGTTTCTCTCCATGTAAATGGTAGTCCTTAACTATTCTCGAAAATTTCATGTTGCGAATGTTCTGCTTTACAATTTCCTCCTCGATTTAAGGGAAAATAAAAAATATTCTGAACATTAAAATAACCTTAGGAGGTTATATGTATCTCTGATAAGGAAGTGGTTTACATAAGTGCCTTTCAAATTGCAAAAATGTGATATGTCTAAAAAATTGTTTTGGAAGATAGTTATTAATTGAGTATAAATGGCAGGAGGGTGAAAATCAATAACACCATCTGTAATCCATCATTGAATATTATGCAAAAGCGATTTGTTGTATTTCCATCTTATTTTACAAATGTGATTTCTTTTTTGTCCAGGTCCCTGCTCAGAGACCTATTTCTGCCCAAGAGAGCCGACATGCTCAACCAGCAGGTCGTAAACAGTTTGGGTCAAAGACCAGCGGTTCCTCAGGAGCACCTCGGTCTACGTTTGGCAGCTACAGCCAAGCCCATGGTACGATATCAGCAAGTAGTTTGGCTAAGCTGCAGGGAAGGTAGTCTTCGGTCGACCACACCCAGTCCAGCAGCACGATGAGAGCAAGCGGTTTGGCCAGGCTTCATAAAGCAGTCCTCAATTGTTTACACCCAATCCTAGAGTATGATCAGCCTGGGACCCATTTCTCAAAGCCTTTTTTCAATGAAAAATGACAAAAATCAGTGACAAATCTGCTGATAACCAATCAGAAGCAAGGATTTCAGTAGCTTATAACAAAAACTGTCATTTGTCACTGATGACAATTTTTGTGAAATATAAAGGGATCCTTTATATTTGTTTTTATTTCTTTTTGCCTTTTGGACATTGTCATAGTATACAAACATTGACTGTTCAGAGTTTAAGCTATTGCCAAAGTTGATTGTGAAAATTGACTGTGCCATGTGATGAGTCAAGGGGCAGAGTAAAGGGTCAGGTGCGAATTGATGCCCACACTTTTGACCAATCAGAGGCCTAGATTCATGATACGTGGTACAATACATGATGAACGTGACAGAAACTTTAATATCTTTCCATTTTATCCCATGTTTCCTGGTAATGACAATTTAGCTCACTGATAGATACAGGTTTACTGAATTCTGAAATGGCTGAATGGGCTCGTCTTGCTCAAAATATATCTCTGTCTCAAAATCAGTCAGATTTGACCTTAAGTTATTGTTTACAAAGATGAACTACAGAAGTTTTAGCTGTTTAAATACACATCATAAACATGTATTAGATACTTTCCAAGTATGGACATAGTAAAAGAGTGTAATTAAGATAACAGTAACTATTGTGAAGAAGTTTGAAACATATGTTGTCAAAGTCTTTCGTAAGCTAAAGTTCCATTTCTTTTTGTCTTTATTTTGAAAAGTGACATTCCAACTTGAAAGCCATAGACTGAAGTATTTATTTACCATTCTCAAATCTACGAATTGAATGTGGACAATACTATTGAAGGAAAGGAAAGTTGTAAGCCATTGACCAAAGTATTTATTTACCATTCTCAAATCTACGAATTGAATGCTGACAATACTATTGAAGGAAATGCAAGTTGATTGATTGATATAAAGTTGATGAAATTGTCTGGACAGAGCAAATTGGAGAGGAGCAATTTATGTTTCACAGATGGCAACTTAAGAAATTCATAACTTTCCTATTTTTAATTGGATATTGCTCAAACTTTCACTAATTTGTTTCTCTTGTTGTTTTGAAACTTCTTTTTTTTTTCAAAGTTTAATCAGTTCACCTTGACTATTATGAGTATATATTTGCAATAGTTTGTTGTTTGTTTCTTACTCTCTCACCCTTAAGCATTTTCATGATCTGTCCTTTGTGCTGCTCTTCCATGTTTTCTCAGTAAAATATAAAGTAGTCGAAAATAGTTTTATAAATAGTGAAAAAACAGCACAGAAAATATGTTTTTAAAACTATTTTCAACTCTGGATATATGTTTCATCTATCTTTTCTTTCTAATCCTTAGCCTAAAATACGTTTTTCTGTTTTTCCCCATTCTTCTTCCCCCGTTTTTCTTCCCCTGTAAGAAAATTTAAGAAAAATGGTTAAGTTTTCAATAAAATATAGAGAAAATAGACAAAATATATGTGGAAAAAGAACAGAGTTGTTCTTCTTTTTTTGTTTAATATCTATTTCATTGTTTATCATTTTCATTTCATTCTTTCCTCCATCTCATTTTCTTTAATTTCGCTCTCTACTTTTATTTGAATATTCATTATTACTCTGCTTACCATGACAATTTTTCAAGAGTGAGAACCTTTCAAATCATTAAGGGAAAAAAAAACCTCCTTAGGAGGGATGGGGTTGCTGATAATCTCTTTATATTCTTGTTTTCAATTATTATATTGGAATATTTTGAAAAAATTATGATGTTCATGAACTTTTCGGTTCCTACCAATTTCATATTTACCAGAACATAGGGAACAAGGAGAGATGTATATGTTTTATTTAGCAGTTAAAGTATATGTACAGTGTATGTAGGTACAGTACATGTAACAAAGCCAATATATCCAGGGAAAGACATTGCCAAGACAAGTGGAATAGTTGAAGTATTCAAAGTGTATATCTCTTTGCTTGTGTCATATTGAGGATTCTTCCATTGTCTTATTTATGTAGAATTATATATTGACATATCATTATTTACAAGTATTTAAAGGGAACCTCAACCTGATGAATAAGTGTAGGTAATAATAATAATAATAATAATATGTCTTGTTTACCCAGGGTAGCCTCATCAGTATTTATACTGTTCTCCCTGAGGGCCCTGCAATCATATTATTACCCTGGTCATCTGATTCAGGCTTACCAGCACACAATGTATGCACATTCTCCACTCCCTGGGGAGCATTCCAGCCAGGTATACTGAAATTGATGTTCAATATTCCTTACGAAAAATGAACAACCAGTTTATAAATGAGGGTATACATGTACTTGGCCTGATGTTGGGCTGAAAAACGGTATGCATTATGTTGAGAATATCTTGCTCCTTACACTTGCACTGGTGAGGTGTCTTGTAGATTAATGGGCAAGAAAATAACAAATAGAATTAGAATAGCTGAAGTTATTTCTTGGGGTGAGGTTTCCTTTAATATGGCATAATTAATGAAAATATGAATTCAGCTGTGATTATTAAAGAAATATTTCTGTGAAGTGCTGAACAGTGACTCTCTAATGATACCTTGATTATAGAGTAAGCATTCTTCATGAATGACTTGCATTTAGAATATGTGTGTGTGATTCAATATATTTATAATAGAAGTGTCTTAAGAAATTGTTTAGACCAGTCCGCTCATAACAATCTATGTATTTTGTGTTAAGTGTATATAACATGTAAATGAGCTTGTGTATAAAGGTCTTCAAAGCAATGACATAATGTGACTATGACATCAAGATGATATTAAAACAGAGAGACGGTAATACTGTTCTCTTATATAGAAATATTATTGTTGTGATCTGTTGTTTTCTGGAGTGGATGCTAACTAAGGTAACTGTGCCAAAATCGTTGTGCAAACAGGTTGATATAAATGTATAAAAAAATCATAATTTTATGTCATAGCTGTAAAGTCAAACCTTTCTATAATGGCCATAAATGTCGTCTCCCTACTTAAAGATAAACTCCAGTACTGGTAAAAAAAAAAAAAAATTCTCACAGAATCAAACGAAACTTACACTGAATGTTCAAGATTACAAATAAATGACATGTGCCAAACAATTTTGGAAGAAAATGTATACTGGCTGAGTAATGAGCATAGAAAGACAAGGAAATCAAGGTAGTACTAGCCCCGACACCATGTGTGTTGTCCCATATATAGCTTTCTATGTGAGTGCTTGTTACTTTACCAAGACTCGGTCAAATTTATTATGATTTTGATGACTCCAGAACCTTGCAGTGCACCCCAATACTTACATGCTACATGATCAACTGTTTCTGATCCTTTCCACACCTTTTCTTTCACAATGCAACCGCATTACCAGTACTAAAGTTTATCTTTAAAGAGATGAATGTTTGTTAAAGACCTTGTTTAGAAAAGGCTACCTGTCTAGAGCGACCACTTTCTCTCTTTCCCTTGGGTGGCCTTAATAAACAGGTTTGACTTCACTATGGTTAGGACAAAGAGCTGATAATATATCTCTGTGAACTTGGTTAGGCTAAATGATATCAAAATTCTCATTCAAATATGCATGTGTCAAATTGCAACTTTTGTCTCACCAATGTCACCAAAAAAGTATCCCGTTGGCTTTCATTATGCACCGTTTTGTGCCATATTTCAAGCTGACTGCATTTAAAAACAATTGAACTTGTATTAACCTGAAATATTTATGGCGGGGGAGGGGGGGGGGGGGGGTCAAATAGAACGAGAGAGCCGACAATTCAGAGAAGGAGACTTAATTGTTTATAATATGAAATAACTAGACAATTATTAGAAAGTTATGATTTTTTTTTAGACACTGCTAGCTGATAAAGCAAATTTAAAATTCTCATATTTACAGTGATTATAATCACTAAAAGTATGTGGTTTAATTTATGGATAATTATTTCAAGAGAAAGAAAAAATTGTGGCAATTAAAAAACAAAGAAAAGTACTTGTCAATTTTGACCAGTGGCAAATAGACGTACCAAACAAAAACACAAACCAGTGCACGAACAACTACAAACGCATGCTTGAAATTTTCTCTAGCATATCATATTTTATAACCATTAAAATAATTAATTGAATTAATAACTATATGTACTAGCTAGAGTGGAAAAGAAATTATTTTCACTCCTTGTCATTATGCATATATCCATTCGATATTGACGTCGTACGCAAATTGGCACCGCTTGAAATTGATCTAGAAAAAAAGAGTAAGCTAACCTTTATTTTATGAACATCTCTCCAAAATTCTGAAGAAAATCTGTGATTATGGATCGTGAAATAGCACAAAAGACATGGGAGATGTCTAACGACGTTGATCTTGTTCAAAGTGTGGATGAAATTTACAAGTACGACAAGAAACAGCAGCATGAGATACTGCAAGCAAAACCATGGACGAAAGAGTAAGTTTATACCGGTCCCATCCGTTGCAATTTGTGCTGTAAATTTTGAGGGGGCCCAAGGCAAGGCCAGCTGCATGTAACTGGCGCTAGACTAGACCGAATTTTCCGTCTCTTTCGTTCGTTAGCCTCTTATTGGGGTAGGGTCGGCTCTCTCTTTAGAGACGGAAGCCGTTTATACACATGTCCTTGCTAACGCCACGGCCAGTCCTGGTCGTAGCGTTTTGCCCCCAAAATCCCCCAAAATGTCATTTTACCTCGAGCATGTTATATTGTAAATTAGGCCTAGGGCTAGGCTATAATAAATCAGTTCCACTTACCAACTTGACTGAAATAATCAGTTTAATAGTCCCTTTTTAGGAAATTATGGGTCAAAATCGAAATCCATTTTGAAAATCTTTTTCAACATGGATTCCGATTTTGACCCATAATTTCCTAAAAAGGGACTAGGTCTATTAAACTGATTATTTCAGTCAAGTTGGTAAGTGGAACTGATTTATTATAGCCTAGGCCTAATTTACAATATAACATGCTCGAGGTAAAATGACATTTTGGGGGATTTTGGGGGCAAAACGCTACGACCAGGACTGGCCGTGGCGTTAGCAAGGACGTGTATAAACGGCTTCCGTCTCTAAAGAGAGAGCCGGCCGACCCTACCCCAATAAGAGGCTAACGAACGAAAGAGACGGAAAATTCGGTCTAGCGCTAGACTAGTGTACTTTTGTATCCATTTTTGACCCGTAACTCCGGCGTGGAGATACCCTACTAAAACATACAACAAAATCAATTGTTCAAATAATTAATATTCATGATTTAAAAGTCGTTGTGTTTCTAGTTTTTCTTACCCCTTTCGACAGTTTTGTGTAAATTTTCTTATCTTTTTTGGAGTATTTTTCCCCAAATTAACGAGCTAATGAACACTTTCTCACAGTCGCAGTTTTCACAGCGAACCGCTGCACAAATACAATACAATTGCATACCATACTGACGAAGGTGTGCGGGCGCGCACGCATGCGTGAAGTAAGCGACTGTGATTTCAGATCCTCATTAAATTCATGTAAGCAGGGCTGTCAACCCTCCCGCATTTTGAGGGAGTTCGAGACCTGCAAATTAAGAAAAGGAAAGTTTCTGATGAAGGTAGAAACTTGAAATCAGATTGGTCTCTGAAGCATTTCTTCATAGAAGAGAAAGGTAAACCACTTTGCCTCATTTGTCACCAGAGTGTGAATGTAATGAAGGTTAACAACATAGCAAGACATTATGACACGCTGCGGTAAGCAAATTATGGGGAGTTACAGGGTGAGGCTAGAAAACAAAGACTTGAAAAATTAGTGACTGGACTGAAACGTCAGCAAGAGTCATTTGTGAAACCAACCATTCTCAAAGAAAGAAACAATAACAACAAAATTAATGAATAAATAAATGAACAAATAAATTTTAAAAAATTAAATAGAAATAAGGTTAAAAGTTTTTAAAAATGGTGTGACCTACATGTACATGTATAAATAGAATCTTGATGCATATGTTTCAGTAATGGACCATGCTGCATATTTATCTTTTCTGTACATTCTATTACAATTTGTTTTCACAGCAACCAATATTTCAAGTATATCAAGATATCTGCTCTGGCATTGTTGAAGATGGTGATGCATGCTAGATCAGGAGGAACTTTAGAAGTCATGGGACTTCTTCTTGGAAAGGTAGTTTTAACTCATTGTCTTAAAAAGTTATTTATGGTTTATTTTTTATGAATACATGTAAATAATATGACTTAACTTATTTATTTGATTGGGGGGGGGGGAATGCTATTAGATTTCATTTGGAGACATCACGCCCCCCCCCCCCTCCCTACCGACCTCAGAACCACCATAAATATAAAAAAATAGAAGGAAATAGATTTTTGATAAACAAATTCACTAAATCAAATATTAAGATAATCGGGTATCGAAGTAAATCAATATATGAATATATGATAGACAAATAAAGAGAAAGAAATATGGAATGTTGGTACTAAGAGTGGTGACATGTGTACCGGTAGATGAATAGATAAAAGTGTAACTTCTGAGTAGAACAATAAAATGTATTTGTCAGAATCAGCTTTCATAGCAATATTAAGAATCTTATTTTTGTTCAGTTGTGAAGTTATTTGCGATTTTCTTCTTTCTCCTTTCCTGAAAATTTAAATTAGAAAGTGAGCCATATGAAGACTTTGAGCAATTTGACTTTTCATTAGCTGAAAGCCTGGGAGGCTGAGACCCATTTCACAAAGCCTGTTTTCAATGACAAAGGACAAAAATCAGTGACAAATCTGGTGATAACCAATCAGAAGCAAGGATTTCACTAGCTTATAACTAAAATACTCAGTGACTGCTATTTGTCACTGATGATAAGTTTTGTGAAATGGGGCCGTGAAGCGTTTCAAAAGTGTGTGATGCAATTGAAATTAGACCATGGGGGTGTTTCACAAAGATCTTACGTTGAACTTAACTCTAAGTTGGACTTAAAGATTATGGAGAGCCATTTGTAGCCTTTAACAAAAATATATTCAAAGGGAAAATTCATGTATTTTAGACTTTTATAAATTCCACATCAAAGAACATGAAATCTCCTTGATAATAGAAAATATAAATGATTTGAATTAACATTTTGTGCCTTTTAAAATAACTTTAACAAAATAATTTCAAAGATGCTAGTGGCTTTCCATAAAATTTCAAGTGTCAACTTAGAGTTAAGTTCAACTTAGGATCTTTATGAAACACCCCCCATATTTCCCCCACATGTTTGATTGTTCACAGGTGGATGGTGAGACAATGATAGTGATGGACTGCTTTGCTCTTCCGGTAGAAGGCACAGAGACACGCGTCAATGCACAGGCTGCAGCATATGAATACATGGCTGCTTATATTGAAAATGCTAAACAGGTAAGGGTCAAGGGTCAAGTCTGCTTTTCATACAATGATGTGAACGTATAAACTTTCATACTGTGTGTGTAGTTCACAACTGTATTTTAACATGGATGCCAGTTTTCAGGCCCTGGCGATTTATTTTCCGACCATAGTTTAGGTTTTTTTGTGGACAAAATAGGAATCTGTCGCTTGTAAACAAAATAAGAGGCCATTGTATATTCAGCTGCGTACACCATGGTAAGTTGGCATTTCAAGAGGGAACAAATGCCGTCCTTAATATCATTCCTGGGGGTTTTCAATTTGAAAGTCTGGTTTCTTTGATTGTTAATTAACCCCTATCCTGTGTATTTACAAGCAAAAGATTTTAGTTATCAGAATCGGGTCATATCCCCTTTTTGAATGGTTTGACATGCCATTACATTTATATACACTAAACTCATTATAATTTGACAAATAATAGCTTTGCAATTATGTTCATTCTTTATGGGATGTCGTCTGCATGGGCAGTTTTGGTCCATATTGTGACGTCATTAAAACATCGTTATTTTTCTGGCAAATCTCTTGTATATCCCAGCTGCTATGGAGGTGGTTCTATTTGTATTTTTATAAATCACCCGATATGTGGTTGACCTAAAAACTTGTACGATGGCCATCTGTTAGCTTACCAGTTTTTAGTGTATTTGTGATTTTCTTTGAATTACACCTTTAAATATAATCTTGTGTTGTTTGTATCAAAAGATACATACTGTATGAGATCATTTGCTATTCTTTCCATGATTTCAGGTGAATTGTAGTGTAAATGCCCGAAAGGAATGCCAGATAACGGCTATGGATACACTTCCTTTCGCTAGGACCCTGTCACCCCGATGACTCCCCGCACATCAGTCTCAGCACTGACTTTGCTTGGAGACTGTGTATGTGTGTGTAGACTCTAGTGTATACACACAGTCCTCATAGGTTTTACACGTGCAGTGCAGGTTGCCATTGTTTAGCATTTACTTTCCAGGGAGGAATCAGAGTTATTTTCTACTTCTCATTTGTTTAATATTTCATTTGAGGAAGAAACTTAACAATATCCTTGAACTGCTAGTATCTTCCTATCATCATGTAAAACCAAAGAAATCTGACAAAAAACCTAACATCAGCTTAAACAAAACAAAGCAGATAAATGTTAAACCTAAGCTGAAATCTGACTATAGTTTCTGAAATATATGCATGCAATTTTTTATAATAGTCAGTAGCACATGGTCATCTTAATTTTAGTAAGTGAGTAAACTGTAATGTTAGGACTACACACCCTCAAGAAAGATTACCGAGAGTCCTTTTCAGGACTCCTCAATCCTCTCTCTCTCTCTCTCTCTCTCTCTCTCTCACATGGTGCACCCGCAAGCCTACTGTATAAACTGTAATGTGTTCACATCTTTACAGGTTGGTCGTTTAGAGAACGCTATCGGTTGGTATCACAGTCATCCTGGCTATGGATGCTGGTTGTCAGGTATTGATGTAGGAACACAGATGCTCAATCAACAGTTCCAAGAGCCTTTTGTGGCCATCGTGGTGAGTCTTATATTCCAATTCTGTACATAATTGTATGGTTTCATGCAACACTGGCTAACATTTTAAAGAATTTCAAATTCACTACATAAGATGTGGAACAGAGTTGCAGGATGTCGTATCCTCTCAGATGATAATGTGAAAATATCATTTTAAATGTTTACAGATTTTAAGAACTAGGGGTATTTGCTAGTTCACTAATAGACTAAGAACTTTTTGTTGTTGAAATTATTGTGACATTTTACAATTATAAAATGTATCGGCATCAGATCATCACTTCTCACAGTTACGGGTGATCTTGTAATGAATGAAATATGAAGGAAAATGAAATAATGAGAATGAGAATGAAATAACGATAATGAGAATAAAATAATGAATTAAAATGGGTGTTTGAAGGACATCTGGTATGTGATTTCCAGGAAGTTTCTGTTAGTCTGTCAACGTTTTTACTTGTTCTTAAATTTCATGTATGAAAAGGAATACCAAATAGGTCAGTTTCTGCCACAATACAGTTGATTACCAGAGCTGAAAATAAGATTTAGTTACACCAACCATATCAAACCTGTTATAATGTTATAAAGGAGGCAAACAGCCTGGTGGTAGAGCAGTGGTCTCGTAACTGAGAGGTCCCGGGTTTGAAACCAAGTCAATGCGCTTGTGCCCTTTGGTAAGGCATTAATCCTCATTGCCAAGTCCCTCGGAGAGAACTTAAAGCTGTCAGTCCCCTGGTTGCTTACTTACAAGCATATACATGCTTTCTTAGCAGTCAGGTAAAATGATAATCAACCATGTCTTCCATACAGGTTGATCCAGTGAGAACGATATCTGCAGGGAAGGTGAACATCGGTGCTTTCAGAACATATCCAAAGGTAAATTGTTCTTCTTAAATGGTTTTTCAGGAGGGTGATTCACAAAGACTTAGATCGACTTACGTTGGACTTGAACTATGGGAGGCCACTCATGCCACTGTTTGCTCTCACCTTTGTTGAAGAAAAAAGTCTTAAATATAAATTATGTTTACAATGTAAGTAAAAAATAATCTTAAACAATGAACTATCGAACAAAGTTAAATTCTGTAGATTTGTGACGTCCCTTGAGAGACCAATGGTGAGAGCAACCAGTGGCATGAATTGCCTGCCATAGTTCAAGTCCAAATTAAGTCGATCTTAGTCTTTGTGAAATGCCCTTCTGATCTACACATTCAGAATGCTTCCAGTAACAGATGCATGGCTAGACTGTTTTGAAACCAGGGTGTAAGACACAATTTGCTGACAAGTTAGTGAAACATTTATCCAACAGTCATGAGGGAAAAGGTCATCAGTTTGGGGGATATTGTGAACCAGGTTTGTTGATGGACATTTTTGAGGGGGTGTGTGCGTCACCTCTACCTCTTGCAGGGTGCCCCTGTCCTGATCAGAAGTTAATTAAGGTGATTTTTCAGCCTTTGACTTTTGAGTTTCCTTGGGCCATTGGACCCTTATACTTGAGGATGTCAGATTGAAAGTTTGATGTCCTTTTTGGAATAGTCATAAAAAGTTAAGGACATGTTCATAATGAAGTAATTTCTTATTAAAGTTAATTTAATATTTATAATCCTTACAGCTTTTTAAACTTCAAAATAATATGATATATGATCCTCCCCCTCCCAAAGCCTTTTTTCAATGACAAATGACAAAAAACAGTGACAAATCTGCTGATAACCAATCAGAAACGAGGATTTCAGTAGCTTATAACAAAAGCTGTCATTTGTCACTGATGACAAGTTTTGTGAAATGGGGCCATGAAGTGTACTAACTATTGAGATCCTCTTGATTCCTTCCTCCCTCAGGGTTACAAGCCACCTGATGATGTGGCCTCTGAATACCAGACCATTCCACTTAACAAGATAGAAGACTTTGGTGTCCACTGCAAGCAATACTACAGCCTAGAGATCTCCTACTTCAAATCGGTCCTGGATCGCAAGCTACTGGAATCTCTCTGGAATAAATACTGGGTCAACACGCTCAGCTCATCAAGTTTACTCACAGTAAGTTTGACCTCTGACGCCACTGAGGTCAGAGGTCAGATGTAGAATATTGCCATAAAGAAGCCATGTTTTGTTTGTAGTATCATCATATAGTATCAAAAGTCATATCAGTCATCTATCAGTCAGTTACAACATGTACATGTAAGGCTTGGTTGCACAAAACTTTTCATCAGTGACAAGTGACAGTTTTTGTTAAAAGCTAGTAAAATCCTTGCTTCTGATCGGTCATCAGCAGATTTGTCACTGATTTTTGTCAATTGTCATTGAAAAAAAGCTTTGTGAAACGGGTCCCAGGCTTGGGCTTAGGTATATTGTTGGGTCCAGGGTTGAAGTTATAAATTTGATTTTCATGAGAGATTGACAACAGAGCAATTCATCAGAGTATGTTTATCATCGGGTTATCATGTCCCATGCCAAAGCATCTAATACACTGAATTGTGTATGTTCAAACCATGTCTGATGGCGTGTAGGATCACACACAAAAAAGTGTGTCTAGACTTGGACTTAATCTGAAACACTTGCCAGGAGTAACTAGGCAAGCATCATGAAGTCATGGTTGTCTTGTGTTAAAAAAATGAAACCATTGACTATCCTATCTCCACTCTTAATTAAGAATAGAAACATGAAATGTTGATTTAGAGCTAATCTTACAGAGGCATACCTTTGACAATAGTATTTCTCTCTCCCTCCCCTCTCTCTCCCTCTCTCTTGTCACCCCCCCTCTCTTTCTCCCTCTTCCTTTTTTTCTCCCCTCTGTCTCCCTCTCCCCCTCTCTCTCTCTCCCCTCCACCTCTCTCTTTCTCTCTCTCTTGTCCACTCTCCCCCTCTCTCTCTCTCTCCCTCTCCCTCCTCTCTCTCTCTCTCTCTCTCTCTCTCTCTCTCTCTCTCTCTCTCTTGTCACCCCCCTCTCTTTCTCCCTCTTTCTTTTTTCTCCCCTCTGTCTCCCTCTCCCCCTCTCTCTCTCTCTCCCCCCACCTCTCTCTTTCTCTCTCTCTCTTGTCCACTCTCCCTCTCTCTCTCTCCCTCTCCCTCCCCCCCCCCTCTCTCTCTATCTCTCTCTTCCTTATGCTAGAATGCTGACTATACAATAGGCCAAGTGTCTGACCTCTCAGAGAAGCTGGAGAATGCAGAGAGTCAGCTAGGGAGAGGTAGCTTCATGCTTGCTGTGGACCATGAAAAGAAGGCTGAAGACAAACTAGGAAAAGCTACAAGAGATAGGTAGGAGGAGCATCATGATGTAGATGGAGATATTGATGATGGTCGCACATAGGCCCTGTTTCAAGTTTATTTATTTCCACAAACGTCAAACAAGTTTAACACAATAAGTATGTTTGTTGATGGTAGTAGTGATTATAGTGGTAATTTTTATTTTTTTAACAAGGAAGACTTTTTGTATTATAAGAAAATAGAGAAAATATGGCTATAATTCATTCTGGATTGTTTATCCTGCAGTAGATCGATTGTTTGAACCAGTGAAATAAAACAACCTCAAAATAACTTGCTGGAAATCATCTTCAATAAAAACCACAACTCTCATTTGCACATAGTGACCTGTGTTTAATAAGCACATGGTGTCGGGCCTACTTACTTTGATTTCCTTATCTTTCTATGCTCATTACTTAGCCCCTATACATCTTCTACCAAAATCGTTCGTCAAATGTCATTTATTTGTATTTATGAACATTCAGTGTAACTTTTGTTGGATTCTGTGATAATTTATTTTCTATCATTACCAGAACTCAAGCTTATCTTTATACCCCTTGTGGACCATTCTGTAATCACAGCTACTCATATTTCTTCATTTTTTTTCTTCTTCTGTTTTTCCCCTCCAGCTGCAAGTCCACAATAGAAGTCATCCATGGTCTCATGTCACAAGTCATCAAGAACAAACTATTCAACCAGGTCCATAATCGCTGAGAAACAATACAAACTATTCAACCAGGTCCATAATCGCTGAGAAACAATACAAACTATTCAACCAGGTCCATAATCATTGAGAAACAATACAAACTATTCAACCAGGTCCATAATCGCTGAGAAACAATACATACTTTTCAACTGAAGGGACTAATGACATTGATACATGTCTCAATGTAAATGCTTACTTACCCATAGTAACATCCAGATTATTTAAACAGTAGCACCTAAAGAGTGTTCATGAAAGTTTTACAAAAAATTAATGGGAGCAGTGAGCGATTTAGCTCTCGATAGCTACACAACTAAAAGCTCTGCATAAATATCTCTGTGAGAAAATCACAGTTTTACAACAACTTTTCCTAAAGGAGCACCTGTGATCAGAAAAGTATTTTTTACGCTGGTTCATGAATATAATGTATTTATAACTATGTCAGATATATCCAGACATCACTGATAAGGAGAGGTTGTAAGGTGATATAGGGTTTCTATTTTAGCCTTTGAGCCCATTATTTAAAATACCATTATAAGCAAGTGAACCTATGACAGTACAGTCAAACCTGCTTTAGTGACCACCTGTCTACAGAGACCAATAGTATATTTGTAAAGCGCTTAGAGACATTGTATTGAGCGCTATATGAAAGCTAAATATTATTATATAAAATATTATTCTTGTCTCCCTTAGGTGGTCTTTATAGACAGGTTTCACTGTACATGTACTTAAAGGCATCTCACATAATGTGCATTGGACAACTTCTAAAAACAAGAAGTGATGAGGATGTTTTTGATTATGGACTCTTTTGTACAATGAATATGTGAGAATATGATTGCAAGTTAATTTAAAGAGAAGGTTGAGTTCTGGGAAGAGGTGACAAATAATTTGTGAAAGAATATCAGATAAAAAATGTGACCTGAAAAGCATGGCTCTTTAAATGCCTTAATATTCTAAATATGGCATGTAACATCACAAAAACCGGGACAGATTTTTATGCAACATGTTCGTTTAGTCCCAAATACTTCTTTCTGTGTACAGGTGCTTGTAACTTTACCAAGACTGGGCCAGATTTCTTATCATTTTGATGATTCCAGAACCTTGCAGTGCACACCAATACTTATATGCGAGATGATCAACTTTTTCTGATCGATTCCACACCTTTTCTTTCACAATGCAATCGCATGACCAGAACTCAACTTTATCGTTAAATATAATTTGATAGAGAGCATTGTGGCAGGGGTAGTGAAAGAAGACAGGGGAAGAAATCAAAACAGTGGTATTTATATCATTGTCTGCATTTCCTATGGTCTTATCATATGATTCAGGAAACAAAAGATTTCTGATCGTCTTAAAGAGTTTAATTTCCCTAAAACTAACAACCGGTACACCTTTTGTATTTCATTTAAACATTTTTTCTTCTTGAAAGCTTTATGTAAAGAGCAACTATCTAAGATGTCTATTTCTTATGAATTGTTTCTGTTGAGTTAATTGACTCCCGGGGGGCATTTCACAAAGCCTTTTTTCAGTGACAAATAACAAATATCAGTGACAAATCTGCTGATAACCAATCAGAAGCAAGGATTTCATTATCTTATAACACAAATTGTCATTTGTCACTGATGACAAGTTCTGTGAAACGCCCCCCTGATGTTGAACATCAAGCATCTTGAAGATTTCTTTCTTTAATCGTGTCAATTCTTTATCTCATACTTCTTTGACTAAATAGCATTGTCACTCTCCTTTGGGGATCAATTCTAAGAAAAGTGATATGCTTTGACAAGTGAAGTGACTGTTGTGTAACCAGGGGGTGTTTCACAAAGATCCTAAGTTGAACTTATCTCTAAATTGGACTTAACAATTATGGAAAGCCGTTATCATCTATGAAAAGAATTTGTAAAAGTTATTTTAAAAGGCATAAAATGTTGATTCAAATGATTCATATTTTCTATTATCAAGGAGATTTCATGTTCTTGATGTGGAATTAATAAAAAGTCTAAAATACTTGAATTTTTGCTTTTAAATATCTTTTATTTTAAGGCTACAAATGGCTCTCCATAATATCTAAGTCCAACTTAGAGTTAAGTTCGACTTGGGATCTTTGTGAAACACCCCCCAGGAATACTAAAATGTGAGACATGTATTCATTTCTACATGACTTATGTCTCAATTTACCAATAAATTCAGAATTGTAAAAATACTTTTTGTGAAATATCTGTGACTGATGCTATACATGTATTTGCCACTTAATATTGTAGCAAACTGCACCTCTAATTCAGCAACCCAGGAAAATTTGCACTATTGGGTGACTAAAAGAGAATAAGATTTTAAATCAACCCCCTCTTTTAGGCCACCTATGACTACGAGATGTCCTTCTCAATATTTTGAATATCAAATAAAAGGTATTTATAAAAAAATATTTGAGCAAGCTAAGTCTGTGATTATTGAGTTTGAGATCTACTAATATTGAATTTTAGTTTTAAGTAGCCATTTTTTTGCAGCAATATGTAACATGGTTGTCTAGTGTTAAAACTCATGGCCACACACACAGGTTTAAAGGGAAAATAAAGCTTTCAAATTAAGGTATGAAAGATATTAGCTATCAGGGTGTGATTGATGTATGTCAATCTAGGTACAGTCAAACCTATATAGAAAGACCACCTGTCTACAAAGACCATATTTCTTGATTCCCTTGAAAATAGTTTCTCATTGAAACATGTACTAAAGGAACCTGTACATAAAGACCACCTGCCTATAAAGACCACTGTTCTTGTCTCCCTTGGGTGGTCTTTATATACAGGTTTCACTGTATTTGGGCTTTGGAATCACTACTCGTCATGTACCTACATGCACCACCTGTATGGAAAGGTGGTGATAAATCCTAGGAGTTATCTGCCTGAACCTTCTAGAGATGCAAGCAGGCGCGTACGCAGGGGGGGGGGTTTGGGGGGTTAAACCCCCCCCTTTGGAAATTTTTTGTGTGTAAACCCCCCTAAAAAAAACCTAAAACCCCCCCCCCCCCCTTTTGGATTTTTTTTTTTTGTTTTTTTTTTTTTTTTTTTTAATAATTATTAAAAAAAAAAAAAAAAAAAAAATTATTCCCATGGCCGACCTAAAAAAGGTGACCTTACCCCCCCCCCCAACGGAGCAAAATGTCAAATTTCCAAATTTCGAGACCAAAAAAAAAAAAAAAAGTGTCCTCTTACCCCCCCCCCCCCCCCCCCCCCCCCCCCCCCCCCCCCCCCCCCCCCCCCCCCCCCGCTTATTCAGCGGTCGGCTGAGTCGTTGCGATTTTTTTGGGACCAAAAAAAAAAAAAAATGTGTCCTCTTACCCCCCCCCCCCCCCCCCCCCCCCCCCCCCTTATTCAGCGGCTGGCTGAGTCGTTGCGAAATTTTCGGACCGATTTATAAATGTTAAAACCCCCCCCTTGAAAAAATCCTGCGTACGCGCCTGGATGCAAGTGTATAAATGTAACCATATTTCAGCGTAGCCTGTATTAGCTGATAGAGGGGTTTATTTCTCAAGCTGATTAAGATGTGATTGGTTGATACAGTCAAACCTGCTTTAGTGACCACCTGTCTACAAAGACTACTTTTTGTGTTTCCCTTGGGCGGTCACTGTAGACAGGTTTGACTGTAGTATGTAATTTCATGATATTGTTATTGCTAGATAATAAAAGATATTTGATGCCTACAGACTATCATTCTTGCATTGTTATTGCATACCAAGTCTTTCTTTTTAATCCAATGTTGTTAGCGTTCTACCGATTAGATGGAGGAGTGATAATGATCTTTTAGTAAAATGGTTGGGATATATAGGAAACACAGCATAAATTGAAAGGAATGTGAAAGATAAGGCACTACTACTAGGATCTTAAAGATAAGTGATACACAAGGAGTAGAAGTGAAAGGGGGTCCATATCACTTTATTCCCTAAGCCACTAGTGTATATGAAGGGGGGGGGTGAGAGGTGACATCGCCCCTCCCCCCCCCCCCAACAGAATTGTTAAAAAAATATTAGAGATGTCAGTAGTGGTTGTGGTCATTATACTTGTTTGTAAGTCTGTCTCTGTATGACCGCTTGGCAGTCACTATCCATGGGCCATTATAGTATTAGAAATTAATGATTTTTTTTTTTAACTTCAGTATTATAAAGCCAATCAGCCAACACAAAGTGGTCCATCTGGTTGAGTGATTACTGTGCACAAATATGCATTCACATTAAAATCATGCTATGAATTCACAATAGCTATAGGCTAATGTAAGACTAGAACAGGACTTCTAGCTATGATGATTGTTTTATCTATTAGATGGGCGCTATATTCTTCAGACTGGAATAATATGTCTATCAAAAAAAGTACACAGACCATCAATCTTTCTTTTCTTGTTTTATCTGAAAATGATCTTGCTCTTAATTATTGCTCATGCTGCAGGTGCATGCATGTATAGACTTGTACTTATCATTTTTAAATCTAAGCTTAAAAAGCGAGTAGAAGTGTCCAACTGTACATTGTTTGGATCACAGAATTGCTCTACATTATTTAGAGTAAAATAATGTATGAGTATAGCATCCCAATAAGCCACCTGTACAAGATATAAGCAAAGGGTCTAGAACCCACAATCTTGTTGATGAATGGTGTAAGGATGAGAAAAAAAATGATCTCAAAAGCTATATGTTGTTGGAGTTCAATGGGTTCCAGTGCCCAGGCGCGGATCCAGGGGGGCGGCGAGCGGGCCTTGGCCCCCAGCCCCTCAAAAAAAAAAAAAAAGAGAGAGAGAGAGAGAAGGGAAAGGAAGTGAGAAGAAAAGAAAAGGGAAAAAAGGTCGAAAGGGCCTTGCCTCCTCCCCCCCCCCCCATCAAAAAAAATAAGAGAGAAGGAAGGAAAGGGAAAGAAAAAAGGAAAAGAGGAGATAAAGGGACGGAGAAGAAAAGAAAAGAAGGGGGATATCAGTTGCAATTTTCCCGCCAACAAGTTGTGGATTGGGGGGGGAGCAAAAGGCCCTTGCCCCCCCCCCCCCACCTCCCATCAAAAAAATAAGAGAGAAGGAAGGAAAAGGAAAAGAGGAGATAAAGGGACGGAGAAGAAAAGAAAAGAAGGGGATATCAGTTGCAATTTTCCCGCCAACAAGTTGTGGATTGGGGGAGCAAAAGGCCCTTCCCCCCCCCCCCCCCGCCCCCGCTAACAGAGAGAGAGAGGAGGAGGAAAAGGGAAAGAGGAGAGCTAAAAGGGAACAAAAAAGTGGAAGAAGAAAAGAAAAGGGTGAACAGAAGGGAAGATCAGTTGCGGTTGATCCCGCCAACAAAAAGAGAGGAGAGAAAAGGAAGAGGACGTAGGAAGAAAGAGGAGCAGACAAAGAACATTTTTGAAATTCAGACAAGGATTAAGAGTTGAAAACGATACAGCGAATCGTCTTCTTTCTCTACTAATTTTAATGAAACGTCAAAGTTTCGCGCGAAGGAAACTGAATTCAGACAAGGATTAAGAGTCGAGAATGGTACAACGAATCGTCTTCTTTCTCTAATAATTAAATGAAACGTCAAAGCGTCCGCGCTTCGCGCAAGAAAGGGGGGGGGGAACTGAATTCAGACAAGAATTAAGAGTCAAGAATTGTAATACAAATCGTCTTCTTTCTCTTTTTAAACATCACTTTATTGTTCAAACTTGCACAACAAAGGAGAACAATAGCCCAGGACAATTCCATTTTACTGGAAAATGCAGGGCATTAAAAGTACATACATGTAGATATACAGTGAATAATGTTATATAACATAATGAAACGTAAAAGTATTGATCTAATATATCGTAAAAGCTTCTGCGCTTCGCGCAGGAGGGGGTAAAACTGAATTCAGACAACGATTAAGAGACGAGAACGGTACAATTAACGAATCGTCTTCTTTATCAAATACGTCAAAGCTTCCGCGCTTTGCTTTGCGCGGGCAGGGCCTTACCCGGCCGAAAAGACAGGCCTGCTTATAGCCTGCCTCAAGCCTGCATAGCTGCTAAAAAGCAGGCTAATTCCTTAGCAAGCACTGATCTTTGTGATGGAGTTAATGCAATTGAGATATAAGAATATTCCTATTGGTGGACAATTGCAAATATCGATTATGATGTATCAATATATCACTAGTTCTTCTACCGAAATATGCAAATTAGGCAGGCTTAATTTAACCTGTACATTTTAAAAATCAGGCTTATTTTAGCCTGCTTAAATAGCCTGCAAAATCATTTTAACCTGTTCAATTAGCCTGCAAAATTGCCCTGCTTTTTTTAGCATGCAAATTAAAATGCTTTGTTAGCCTGCAAAAATGCTGAAATATGTAAGTTATGCAGGTTAATTTTAGCATGCTAATCTAAAAGGCAGGCTAACATAAAATGAAGATAATCGATTGCCATCACAAACAGTAATAGACTTCTATTGGTATATCGACTCAGGTAGAAGAACTAGTTTATATTGATACATCATAATCGATATTTGCAATTGTCCACTAATAGGAATATTCTTATATCTCAATCGCATTAACTCCATCACAAAGATCATTTGAAGTGAATTAAAGATTGACTTTTTTGTAAAGGGTGTGTGTGTGTGTGTTGGGTTTTTACAGACGTGTATCAATCAGATATGATTATTTACGTCTGGGACCGACCTTTAAACGTCACCATCCGAAAGACGTGACTCAGTTTCGAACCTGCGTCCTCGGCTGAATCGGCTGTACCCTTTGTAAAGGGTACAGGCTGATACATAGAAAACTTACATGCTATTTTAATTGGTTAGTAAACGTATAATCACTATATTGCTAATTGCTATTGCTGTAAACGTATAATCACTATTACATTCACTAAAACGTGAATGTAATTGTGATCAGACAAATAATCTATTGGTCAATAATTGCCAAAGGAAAATACAATCACAAAATTGATGTGTGCATTATTGTCATAATTTGCTTACCAATTATGATAAATGTATTTTTCTGTGAGACGTGTATAATGAATATTCATGAGATACATATATTGCAGGTTAATTTTAGCATGCTAATCTAAAAGGCAGGCTAACGTAAATGAAGGTTTCTATTGGTTTCTATTGGACCTATTGGTTTCTATTGGTTTCTATTGGTCCCATTGGGTTCAATTAGTTCTATGGTTTATATTGGTCCTATCGTTCCTATTGGTTTCTATTGGTCTTATTGGTTTTAATTAGACCAATTGGTCCCATTTGACTCTAATCAGGATTTCAATTGGTTTCAATCGGACCAATTGGCCCCATTAGATATTTCAAATGGTTTCAATATTATTGGACCAATTAGCCCCATTAGAATTAAATGGGACTTCAGTTGGACCAATCGGCCCCATTAGTCTGTAAGGTTTTCAATTGGTTTCAAATATATCTTTTCATTATAAGTTCCAATTTAATCCAATTACGATATTTAATAAACACAAGACTATATCAATAATTTCCGGAGCCTATGGCCTACAAACATTGCTTTCTCTTTAGGCTCCATCATATTTCTTCCTTTATTTAACTTAGTCTTATTATTCTGTTCGTTTGTATAAATGCATCCCCCCAAAAAAATGATTACAAAAAATGTAACATGCCAAATAGTGAATTGTCTTCTCCATCGGTTGCTGCAAAACTGTGGAACCAGCTACCTACTGCTGTGCGGACGGCTTCATCTGTTGACCAGTTCAAGAAGCTACTCAAGTCACATCTATTCTGCTATAAATTACTTTATTACTAGCCTACATAATTATACTTTACTGAACTCTGAGAAGACGTGTCTAACTTTTGTTTTTAAGTGGCCCAAACATTTTGGAGCGTGTGTGCAGCGCTTTGTAACTGCAAGGAAAAGGCGCTATATCAAATATCTTTTGGATTGGATTGGATTGGATTGGATTAAACAACATGTGAAATATGAAGATAAACTGAAACTGAATTGGACCAAGTCCAAAATAGGGCCAATTGGTCCAATTGAAACCAATCGAGGTACCATTAAAATCTAATGGGGCCTGCCCTAGGCCAACTGGTCCAATAGGGCCAATCTGGACCAATTGAAACCAATGAAGTCCTAGCTATTAAAGTCCCATTGAGACCAATTGAAAATATGAAAATTAAATTGATGTTCAATTGGTTTCAATTGGATTTTTGTCTTGGGATGCCTCCCGGCCAAGCGCTCAGAACCTCGCTTGCTTGGCTTTCTATGAACCTATTTTTGTTTAAACTCTCGAATCACCCCTGATATATAACATTAAACGTGCATGAAAAATAACCTGCATGCTACATGTAAATTAAGGCAATCAGGTTAAATTTGTGTTCTAAACCTGCTCAGAGGACATTTCTTCAGATTGCAGGTTTAACAAATTATGATCGAAATTTACATGCTAACGATTAAACTGCATCTCATCTGGCATGCTTAAGATTTAACCTGCTAAAACTATAAGCAGGGATATGTGAGTTTATTACAAGCCCTGAAGCCCTGCTATAAGACTGTATTTTGCAAAACGCATGCTAATTTTTAAACTGCAGGCCAAGATTTAGCCTGCTTAAACTGTAAGACTGTGGTTTGCAAAATGCATGCTAATAACAGGCTAAAAATTAACCTACTATATGTAAGACTGGTTTTGCAAAATACAGGTTAAAATTCAACATGCAATAGAATAATAGAATAAGGCCAGACGCAGGTTCAAAGCAGGCTAAATAAGCTGCGTTTTCGGTAAGGACGTTAACTGAATTCAGACGAGGATTATTTTTGAGAACGGCCGGTACAACGATTCGTCTTCTAGCTTTCTCTAATAATTTTATGAAACGTCGAAGCTGTCGCGCTTCGCGCAGGAGGGGGGGGGGGGAAGAACTGCATTTAGACAAGGATTAAGAGTCGAGAACGGTATCAACAAAATTGTCATTTAATGAAACGTAAAACTAAAAGCTTCCGCACTTCGCGGAGGGAGGGAAAACTCGCCCCTCCTGCACCCACCGCCCCTATTACGTCACTACTGGTCACCATGGCTCGCATAATTTCAAATTTGCCCCCCCCCCCTAAGAAATCCTGGATCCGCGCCTGCCAGTGCCTAAGCTTACAATATTGCAATTCTTCTATCAAGCATATGTAGTCACAGTGACTGTAATTCGATTAGTAAAATGCAGTGTCTTCAAAATGAGGTGAAACGAATTTCAATTAGACTATTTAACTTTTGAGCTTCACTGAATCCCTTTGCAAAATGAGTTAAGTTTTCTTCTCTCAAAATGAATAGCATGATGACATTTATTCTCTCAAGAAAAAATTTGATGTGCAAAACCGATAACAAATTATTATTCATGTACCTAGATCTATACAGTACAGTGAAACTCGGTTGTGTCGCAATATAAACGGGGAATCCCCGATCGAGTTGTATCGCGCGACTTCGCTTCGTTCGCATTCGTTGATAACATTCGATCATGCAAAGCGCGCATGCACACGTCACACTGCACTGCTACTGCCTTGTCGCCCGTTTCTTCTCCGTGTCGTAGAGATCCTGAATCTTGCTTAGAAAACATCTTTGCATCGTACTTCTCTTCCCAATAACAAGGATTTTCAAGCATAACCGTTCTGAATTCAGGTAAGTTAACTCACTTGCCGTAGCCTGCCTGCTTTTCGCTCGCTAGGCAATTTTTCACAGATAAGTTCTCTGAAAATGAATACAGGCGAAGGCCACACACTGGCACTGCACACGTACGCGTACCGTACTACAGTGTAGCTGCATTACTTACAATAGCCTGGGCCCTGGCCTGGCTTAGACCGAATTTTCCGTCTCTGTTGTTCGTTAGCCTCTTATTGGGGTAGGGTCGGCCGGCTCTCTCTTTAGCCGGCCGACCCTACCCCAATAAGAGGCTAACGAACGACAGAGACGGAAAATTCGGTCTAGGCCTGGCTGTGTATTAAAAACTGTTTTATTGATTCTCAACATTTCAAACACCACTGTAGATCTACAAAACTCAACTGAGTTCACTAAAAATTGGTACTTAGTGACAATTGATGACACCTTATGCTATGGTCACATTACCAAAAAGTAGACTGCTCGGCGGCCGAGCGGCGAGTTTTTAACCAATTCTGCCCGGCGGCTGTCCAGCCACCGAGCGGCGGCCGCCCAGGCACCGCTCGTTTTTAGGGCATCGCTCGGTCGCCGCTGAAGTTTTAGCGCGGAGTTAAAATTTGGGCGGCGCCTGCTCATTTTTACACTCGCCGCCCAAAATACGCTCGGTGCCTGGGCGGTCGCCGCCCGGGCACCGACCTAATTGCTGGGCGATGCCTAATTCCAGCAGCGACCGAGCAGGCTACTGATCGGTCGGTCGCTGCTCTGATTTGTGACCATAGCTTAAATAGCAGTAAAATACAATCTTTTCAACTTCAAGTTCCAAAGTCATTGTCAGTTTTTGAAGGAAGCAGACGTGTTTTTCAGTTGCTCCGAGTTTTTGCCGTTTAACAAGGAAAATAGATACTGTTTGCGGATAAGCTTTACATCTTTGAATAGCGGACAAGGTGACGATTTTCACAGTACTTTTAATTTATTATTCGTGCTATCAACTTTCGAGATATATTACAGAATTTCCAAACATTTTCGTCATCATCATCCAACAATATAACTTTGAAATTTGTTATTATAGGCGCGTCAAAAACAGGTTGCCAAACAACTCTTAGTTTACGCAGTCTATAACTATACGCCACAAATCAGCAAGGGTGCGTGACCATCACCCCCTTGAAGAGAGCATCTTTTGTTTACGTCACTATGGTGACCTTAGATGATATTCGACATCCCCGTGTTAAAGAACTTCGTAGCGAGCTTCAAAAGAGGGGTCTTGAAAAAAGTGGAGTAAAGGCAACACTAACCGCTCGTCTCAAAAGAGCCTTGGATCCTGAGACCGCAGCACGAAATCCTGATGAAGAAAGGCTAGAAGAAGACACTGCAGAACAACCGGGCAATCACATTCTCCTGGAAATATTGGCCATCGTGAAAAGCATTGACGGAAGACTCAAACGTCTAGAAACGAAGGCAGAATATCGCAGCGCCACAACTAACACTATCTTTGTAGAAGAGGGCATCGTAGACGACACCGAGGACACTATCCTTAATAGCGATATTGAGGATCTGCCCGGAAACGACGGAAATCAAGACATAGGTCTAGTGGAGATAATTACGGTGCCGACATCTAACCGCTTCGAAGTTCTTGCTGTTCAAGAAACAATAACAGAAGCTTCGCCGTCAACACCTACTAGTACTTCTACTTCACCACCATACTATGAGCAGATAGAGGGATACCGCCACCGACATAGTGTGATCCGCAACAAACGAGATGTAGTTGTGGTCGGTGATTCCATGATAAAACACATCGACGGAAGACATCTCTCCCGCAGCAAGAACGTGAAGTGCGTCTCTTTCCCCGGTGCAAAAGTGAGAGACATCTTCACCTCTTCACCTTGCGAGTTTCTAAAGCCAGGGGGAGAACTGATCATCCATGCTGTCACCAACAACATCTCTGAGGGTGCTGGTGAAGTTTGTCACCAAATCACAGACCTCGAGGGGTTTAACGTCTCAGTCTCTACGATCATCCATCGTAGATGGGAGAGTGAAGCGGACAAGAAGCGGGTTGATGAGATCAACTATCTGATGGAGTTGGCAGCCAGCGAGAACAGATGGGGCCTCATCATCAACAATGATATCAGCGAGCAGAATCTTGGGCGTGATGGCGTTCACCTCAACAGAGCCGGTCAACGAATCTTGGCAGGCAACCTGAAACGCCTCATCAACAGTGCTGACCAACCGACATCACGAGGCCATGGCTGGACTCAACGGTCGTCCGATCAAGAAACAGGCAGTGAACCTGGAGCAAGGCGGCATCAAGCCATCTACCGAGAAAACCAGAGTCTTTATTCTGATGAGGAAAAAAGCAGCCCCGTAAAGTCCTATGCCGAATCTCTTTCTGGGAGATCTTTGGATTTCAGTTCAGTCGATCAGAGGTCACGACTGAAACCAGCCTTCAGACCACCCAAGGTGGACATGAAAGACTGGGCGAAATATCTACAATTTGTAAGAAGGATATTGAATTAAGTGAAAGTTTGACAAAATCTAGTGATGATCCGAAAATTATAGTTGACGGTCGAAAATATAAGTTCCCTTGTGGGAACTGTGATAAGCCAGTCAAATGTAATCAACAAGGCCTTTTGTGTTCTTATTGTTATTGTTTCACACTAATTGTCAAGCTATCAGTTTTTCAGAGTACCGCAGGTTATATTATGAATGCCCTGATGAGAAGTGGAATTGTTTAACATGTTGTCTGCCATCTTTTTGTGACTCAATATTTACTGACGATTGTTTAAAGAAAGAAAGCCAAAACGAGGATAGACTAAAAGAAAACTATTTTAAGGTAACGCGCATTACACCTGAAAAGCAAGCGATAGCAAGAATAATTCAGCCAAACCTCAGAGATGAAAACACTTCTCTTTATCAAGAATTTGAAGGAAAGGTTAAAGTTAAAGGTCTTCATTTTTTACACCTTAATGTGAGGTCTATTCTAAACAAGATATCGGAACTTAGAATTCTTTTTAAAAGAAAAAGGCTGTCTACATGTATTATTGCTTTCACTGAAACATGGTTAAACAGTTCCATAAATGATGAAGAAATTGAAATAGACGGATATAAAATCATACGCCATGATCGATCCTCTGGCTCTGGAGGTGGTGTATGTTTCTATATCAGAAATGATATTGCATTTAATATTATGGATGCTATAAGTACTGGAGATACGGAATTCCTGTGGATAAATTTGCTGATACCAAGATCAAAACCAATTGTTGTTGGCGTTCTGTATCGACCTCCGAAAAACAATTTGTTTATCGAGAAATTGTCCAATATTCTTGATACATTAAAGAAGGATGACGAAATAATTCTTTTAGGAGACATGAATATTTGTCTTCTTCACAAATCGCCACTGGCTAAAAAATATATTGACTTGTTGAGTCTTCATGGGTTTAGTCAACTCATTAAAGAGGCAACACGCGTTACACCTACATGTTCTTCTCTATTGGATCATGTTGGTTGTACCAAAGAAAAGAAAATAAGTCAAAGTGGTGTCATTGATCTAGGTATTAGCGACCATTATTTTACTTTCTGTACACAGAAAAATGTTAGACTGGCTATAGGTCATCACAGGACTTGATATCAGATCCATGAAAAATATACAGAAGAGTCTTTCAATCTTCAACTATCTGTTGTTGATTGGTCACGAATAACTGACTGTACAGATATGAATGAGGCATGGTCAATATTTCAACATGTTTTTATCTCAAATTTGAATAGGATAGCGCCACTGAAACGGATAAGAATAAAACAAAGATCAGAAACTTGGGTGACTAAAGATATTCTTTCCCAAATTCAAGAGAGAAATATAGTATACAAGAAATGGAGGAAAAGAGCAAAAGATGAGAAGCTCTATAAAAGATACAGAGTATTAAGAAATATGGTCCAAAGAGAGGTGAAAAAGGCTAAACTTGATTACTTACAAAACAAGATAGAAGAAAATAAACAAGATTCGAAAAAACTTTGGCAGAATCTAGAAAGCTTAGGATTGAAAAATAAGAAGCGAAAAGAACAAGAATCTGTCATTAAAATTGATGGGGAATTATGTCATGATAAGATGGCCATCGCTGATGAATTCAGTTCTCATTTCACAAATTAGTAGACAAACTCCCCCCTTCCAAAGACTTTTTCAGCGCAGACAATGATTGTATTCGTGACTTTTACGAAAGAAAAGGTGTACGTGAAAACAGCTTCGAGTTATTACCAATCAGTGAACAATTTGTTTTCAAAGAGTTACGTAAGTTGAATGTATCAAAAAGTACTGGGTTAGACTTGATTCCAGCTAAATTTCTAAAAGATGGTGCGAAGGTTTTATTTAAGCCTCTAAGTTACTTAATGAACCTATCTATCTTGACGAGTACTTTTCCAGAGGATATGAAAATAGCAAAAGTGACTCCACTTTATAAAAAGAAAGATAAAACTGATGTTAGCAACAATAGACCTATTAGTGTTTTAAGCGTAGCATCAAAGATACTAGAAAAAACGGTCTGTGTTCAAATTGAAACATACTTCAAAGAAAATGATATAATTTATGAATTTCAATCTGGTTTTCGACATGATTATTCGACTGAAACATGTCTAATTCATTTGACTGATTATTTGAGGAGAGAAACTTCCCAAGGGCGCTTTGTTGGTATCGTGCTCCTTGATCTGCAAAAAGCTTTTGATACAGTTAATCATTGCGTCTTATTGAAGAAGTTACAACTAATGGGTTTTGATAAGGCAAGTTTAGATACATGTAGGTTCAGATCCTACTTATCTAATCGACACCAAGTAGTGGCCATTCATGATATTCGTTCCAAACTATTAATGCCTATAACATGCGGTGTTCCTCAGGGAAGCATTTTAGCCCGATTCTATTTTCAAGTTATATAAATGATATGTGTATTTGTATAAAAGACTTCAAACTATTATTGTACGCAGATGACAGCGTACTACTCTATTCAAATCCTGATCCTAAATATATTGAGGAAAAGCTTAGAGAACAGCTGTCTACGTGTGTCGATTGGATGACTGATAATAAGCTTTCTTTACACTTGGGAAAAACAGAAAGCATTTTATTTTGTTCTAAAAGTAATTCTAAAAAGTCATTTGAATTCAAAGTGACACACAATAATCAAGCTATCAAGAGAAAAGAGTCTGTGAAGTATTTAGGCATTGAGTTGGCTAGCGAAATTTCATTTTCATCTTTAGTAGAATCAGTTGTAAAAAAAAGCAAATTCTCGTCTGAAATTTTTGTACAGATATCAAAGTTGTATGGATTTAAAAGCAAGACGTACACTCTGTTTTGCTCTTATTCAATGTTTATTTGACTATGCTAACCCTGCATGGTATAGTAACATAAACAAGTCAGATCAAAAGAAGTTGAAGATTATACAGAACAAAATGGTGAGATTTATCAACTGTTCTGGTCCAAGAACTCATGTTGGCTACAGCGAACTTTCTAAAGCTGGTTTTCTTGAAGTCGACCAAAGATCAAAACAACTCGTATTGCATCACGTGCATAAAATATATCATACTAGGTCGAATCATTATATTCGATCCAACTTCGATCTTGTTACTGACGTACATGATTATAATACAAGAAATAGGCGATTCAACTTTAACTTACCAGAAAGAGTAGGTAGTATTGGAAATTCGTTTTATTACAATGCCATAAAACATTGGAATTCCCTTCCCAATGGTGTAAAAGAAATAGGAAACTATGATCATTTTAAGAGAAAATTAAAGGAATACCTAATACTTGACAGTCAGAGAAGAGAAGTGAATGACATGTTATATGATTGAAATTTTTATTCTTCTGTCGGTTCATACTTTTTCATGTTGTATATACATGTACTTATGTTTTCGTACGTTATAGAAATTCTACAAATTCATCATTATTTTCCTCTTCTTCCTTCTCCTCTTTTTCTTCTTCTCCTTCTTTTTTTTCTTCTTGTACTTAATATCATTTCTATCATCAGTTTAATGTTGTTATTATTATTATTATTATCTTTAATAAGTAGTTCTTTTAATTTTCTTATCTGTCTGTAAATATTACTATTTTAACTTATTAATTTTATACATGTCTGTAAGGGACTCCACTGGAAATAAGCTCTCGAGCTTTCGTGGGTTATCCTGTTCAAGCTGACTTATTTTTGATCTGTTATTATTGTATATTGTTGTATGTTGGAAGCTTGTCGAATAAAAATCAATCAATGTTAAACTTATAGTAGATCTACATGTACATGTAGATCTAGATCTACTAGACCCAGTACTAGAAAGAATATTTTGAAAATTCAAATCGTGGTCGATCTATCTAGACCAGGCCTTCTCAACTGGCGGCGCTTGCGGTCAGTCGGAGTGGCGCGCGCGGCTGTTCCAAAATATTAAAAAGAAAAATTAAAGAAAGAAAAAATTAAAAAACTCGGCAAAATCAAAAAGTCGCAGTTGAAGTTGAGCCCAAAATGTAAGCAAGCCATTTTGTTTGTTTGATTTTGACATTTTCCGTGTTTATTGCACCAAAATAACTACATACTGTATAGGTCTAGACCCTAAGTTTACTTCCAGTGTAGATTTTATTCAGGAATTGTACTAATTATTTCACATCAATATGAAATTATGATTGATATTGATTGATGCCACATCTGGGCCTTAAAAAAGCCCTAAAATCCGCTATCGGCTCGTCGCTACGCTCCCTCGCAAACACAGTCACCAAACGTACAGGTTGGCACTTCAACCCCAATACATTTTTGTTTTGGCATTCTAATAAACTAGTTGAGAAGGCCTGATCTAGACCATGTAGACCCTACTGTGAAACTAGACCAAAATTTCTGTCTCTTTCGTTCGTTAGCTTCTGATTTGGGCAGGGTCGGCTCCTCTCTTTAGAGACAGATGCGAACCATAGGGACTGCACTGCAAACTCTGTATGCCGGATCTGAACACCTAACTTATGCCCAATTAGACCCTACTTATATTTTACCTGATGCATCATGCTGAATATCCTATTTATTTTATTTTGAAAATTAGGCCTAGCTAGGCTATTATACATCGGTTCACTTACCAACTTGACTGAATAAATCTGTTTAATGGTCCATTTTCAGGAAATTATGGGTCAAAATCGACATCCATGTTGAAAATCTTGCAAGCTGTATTTTAACTCTCGCTGCGCATGATGATGTCATCAAATCTCATCCCTTCTAGTCTAGTGCATGCAAGGCAAAATGATTATGAAGGAAAAACTGTGCACCGGCTACAACAGTTCATAATGACATTATCACATTTTTTTTATCATCGTGCATACATATTATCCTTCTATTTCTAGATAACCAGAACCATGGCTGAGACGAGCATTCTTGAGGAGGAATGTGAAAATGAGAAAAAATGTGAAAATGTCACCCCTGATGGTAAGAAAGTAAAACAGCATCCCTCAATGTATTTAGAAATATGTCTGTATTCAACATTTGAAATTGAAATGTCAAGACTAAATAGTGTGAATATGAAAGAAAATCTACTATAGCGGAGTAATGAACAAAGAAAATTCTGTTAAAGGTAAAGACCAGTAATGGTCATGCGATTGCATTGTGAAAGAAACGTTGTGGAATCGATCAGAAAAGGTTGATCATCTAGCATCTAGCATCTGCAAGGTTCTGGAATCATCAAAATGATAAGAAATTTGGCCCATTCTTCGTAAAGTTACAAGCACTATACACAGAAAGATGTATATGGGACTACCCTATCTCTCTCACACGACCATGAGAGAAATAAATTTACCAAATATATGAATTAGTAGGCGGTTTCCCGGCAAATTTTTTATCATCATGTATTAGTCAAAACATATTCTTTCACATGATTGGTAATGAGAGCTTCCATTTCAGTTTTTGAAATTGGGGCGTTACCAATACTGGTCTTTACCTTTAAAGGAATTAGGTTGGTTAAACTGATCTTGGTATTTTGTTTTTGTATTTCTTAGTATGTTGGTATTTCTATAATTTGCTCTTCAGGGAACTGCATAATAACAGCAGCCCAAACTATTAATTTTTCTCATCTTTTTTCCTGTATCTCTTGCAAATGTAGTCCCTTGGACATGTTAATGCCATGAGGTGAAAGGGGTGGGGGTCTTTTACTAAACTTTGAAAAAGTTGGGGTTTTGTTTGTCTTACTCTGGTTGCGAAATATTATCACATACAATGTATTTTGTATGTGATATGCATGCCTGTCCTAATAAAAGCCTCTTTTCTTCTTTTCTTCTAATTTCAAGGGATGGCGAAGGAGGAAGAAGTGGCCAGTTCTAACCCCATCTTATTACCAGTGGAAAGGTACATAAATTGATTGCATAAAAACTTGAAAATGCATCAAATGATGAAGGATTTTTGCACTTAGACAACTGATTTTTTTGAGAAACACAAAATATTTGCATCATAAATTAACTCATTGCTGGTTTGACACTTTGAAACATGTTTTACTAGTCCCCCTCCCTCAGTACTTACCAGTATAGAGTGAAAATCTGTACTGAAAAATTAAATAACAATAATGATAAATGAATAAACAAAATAAAAATGATAAGAAAAATAAAAGCGCTAACAGCTATGAATTGGAAACATTTTTTTAACACAAAATTTCAAAAAAAGTAGTAGTATTCCATTTACATGAACATGCCTTCAGGCTTCTGGTTTAAAAGGCAAATATATTTGTTATGCATTTGTGTTTCATAGACCAGTATAATACAACATGTCAGTTAGAAATATCAAGACATGTATTTTCATAAACCCACTTTGCCCAAGAACATGGATTTGATGAAGTACAGTAAACCTCGCACAAAATCGACCTCGTATATGTCAAATAACTGCCTAAGAATTATAGAATAATTGAAATTTGAAAATTGAAATTGAATGATTTCATACCATCAAAATTCAATGAAGGATCGTCTTTGTATATCAAATTTTACCCTCTGTGTATAGTGAACAATAATTAAATTGTTTTTGTTTCTTTTCAGTTGGGATTTTGGAAAGTATTCCTGTGAGGATGCTGAGAAGAAGTTGATGGCCATTGGTATAAATAAAGGACAATTCATTGTGAGAGATAATAGAGACCCTGGTAAGAAAGAAAAAAAATCAATCATCAAAAGTGAAGTCTACTCTCAGATTGGTGAAGTTTTTTAGAAAAACCAATCAAAAATAAGAAACCAATGGATTTAAAAAAAAAGTTGTAATCAATCAAACGCATATTTGAAAGACTGTGACATAATAATAATAATAGTGGGTTCTTGTAAAGCGTTCATGTCTGTCATACTTGACACTCCTGGCGCTCCTGATTATTATCTGGCTTTAGCTTGGCTGCTATTACGGCGCTCTAGCATTTCAAGGAATTAATTCCTGCCAGTTACCCATTTACATGTACATCACCTGGGTTGAGTGTGGCAAATGTAGATCAATGTCTTCCCAAAGGACATTAGTGCTACGGTGGGACTCGAACCACAGACCTTGTGATCCACAGTCCAGTGAGATATCCACTCGACCACGACATGTACATGTACATGTATGTCACAGTCTTTCGATGAGCATCCCTCTCATTTGCTTACTATTGGATATTTTGTAAATTTTATTGTTATGGTGTTAATTGAAGAACAACATATTTTAGGGGTGTGTACAAATATGTGTCAAACAGTAAATGTTCATGTATATTTAGGGCAGAGTACATGTGTAATCCAATATTCAGAAAATGTTTATATTTTTTTTTTAAATTGTGCAGAATAAAATGGAAGTTGCTCAATTGCCAGTTTATACGTGATCAGTTGCAAATATAAAACTCATCCATTTATTCCCTAAATGGACCATTTGAAAAGAAAAAAAATTAAGTACTATGCTACCATAATATATATATGCTAGCTGAAAAGCTTTGTGGTATCTGAGTTTTAGTCTTCAGACTTTTGCCATTTTTTTGTCTTTTTCTATTATGAATAAAATAAGAAATGAAATAAATTGTAACACTGATTGTTTCAGGTACCTTCTCGCTGTCTGTGAGAGATAACGATCCCCAGAAGGGAGATCATGTCAAGCATTATAGAATACTTGAGATGGTTGGAGGTAATGGCATCTTCATCTTTGAAGGAAGTATCTTTCGAACACTCTCAGAGCTGGTTCATCACTACCAGAGTAAGTATAGCAAGGTCCTTATACCATGGTCTACCATTTCCCTACAGGAACCACGTGATCCCTGTATTAAAACAATATGGGAAGGAGAGAATGCAGTAGCTAAAGAGTTAGTTGATATCCCTGCGCTATCGTACATTTATATATATTGATCATTATGTAGTTTTACCTTAGGCTTTGGGGTTATTTTGTAAATTTTCAGTATAAAACTACTATTTGCAGGCAATTGAAGGGTTATCGTGTAGTGAAATACAAATGGGCTAATTTCAAACGAAGCTTCAGAAACACAGGTTAATGCTACATGTACCATTAAACTGGTGGAGTTTATGATCTGTTCGGACGGGTAATGACTACTGGTAATTGGAAAGTCTGGACCAGCCTGCATTTTTTTCCTTTCTCTTTACCTCTTAAGAGGGAGTTTATTGTTCCATTTAAAAAAACATATATATTATTTACCAAACAAGTATGAAACATACACTGTATGAATTATATACAAGATCAACATAATTTCTTAAAATTATCATTTTAACATTTCTAATACTTTCTTAACTTCTTCATTATCGAAGTATCTTATATTTTCTTTTTATTTCAAGTAACATTTTAATGGTGAAATCAAATTATTTATTAACCTCTTTGGACCAGTCTGCATAGGTATTAGTCCAAACAAAGAAAGGTTGCCTTTTGTGAAGACTCAATGTACATGAACTTCAGGTAAATGGATTTTGGGGCATGAAACGTTTGTGAATCCTATACTACTAACAGAATTTGCGAAAGGTTGTATATGAAAATTTCTGGTTTACAGTTACTTTAAATCTCTCTCTGCTCTCTCTCTCTCTCTCTCTCTCTCTGTTTCACTTTTTGTATCTCAGTGAACAGTGAAGGCCTATGCTGCAGCTTGACCAAAGCTTGCCCGCAGGAGGAGCCCAACACGATTGGTCTTGGTAAGGACCGGTGGGAGATCCATCATGAGTTTCTCAGGATGACCAGACGACTCGAACATGGACAGTTTGGTGAGGTCTGGCAAGGTAGGTATTCAGGTTATGAAAAATTTATTCCTGCTACATTTGGTTATACACTGTAGCTTAGGTTTTATTTTGGTTATTAAACATTTGCTCCAGTGATAGTTTCTGGATTTTTAAATCTTCATCCCTGCACCATACATTCATAACCCTAACCTTTGTCCATTAACAATCGTCATCCTAGTACCAACTGTTTTAACCCTGTGGCCCTTTTTGTCCCTCTCCCGCACCTTAGGCATATGGAATTGTAACACACCTGTCGCTGTCAAGACTCTGAAGGAAGGGACATCAGCAGACTTGCTGGCTGAGGCCAACTTCATGAAGAGAGTCAGACATGAACGCCTTCTACAGCCCTATGCAGTGTGCTCAGACAGAGTAAGTGATTTCCCCAAAAATTGAGATAACAGTCCATTAGAAATTACTAATTTAGACAACCATACAGCTTTCATAGATGACCACCTCCTCTCCAAGAGAATTACCCCCCCCCCCCTGTCCCAGATTATTATTTCTTATCCCAGATTACCACACTCCTCTTACCCTTTGGACAATAATCCATCAAAGATGATTATAAACATTTCTTGTAGTCCTTTTGGATAGACACCCTTGAAAATATCAATTATACCTTGAATATACCTTGAAGTCCACACCTCGCCATCGTGGTGATGAAGATCCCGTAGATAGTGGCAGGGTTAAGGGGGTCCCATGGGACCCATTTAAAAACCCAGGTTGGATAGTTGTCGTTTGAAGCTTAGGAGTGTGGGAGCATCAAAGGCAGTTTGTGGCAGCTTGTTCCATTTGCTTACAACTTTATCCTGCATGTAAATGTACATGTTGCCATGTTCTCAATGTATTTATTATACTAAATGTGTACTGTTGCATTTTGTTTTGCAGGAGCCAATCTACAAATTGACGTCAAATGGAAGCTTACTGGATGGCACGGGCAAGGACACCAAGCTGACGACACACGTTGATATGGGTGCACATGTAAGTTACAAGAATCTATAGCAGATCTTCTTAAAGACATACTGTCAACAGTTGCCAAATGAATTGCGTCTTAATTCACAGGGTTGGCAGTATAAGCCTAAGGCTGGAGACCATGCCACACCTATATCTTTCAATTCAGCATATAGTCTTCAAGTGATACAAAACAAACATACTAAACAATATGAATACTAAATATTAATACTAAATACCAATGACAGTATTATATCTCACAACTGATCTCCCTCAGACTATTCAGAAAGGTAACAAGATCACAGGTGATGGTAGCTTCTTTTTGGATGAAGAAGAAATATATTACAAGGTGTGCTGCAGCGCTTGAATCTATTTTGTGTCCATTTTGTCCTGTCAGCTATACAATAAAGCAATTGTAGTCTTTTGTAATTTTTGCACCGTTTCAAAGATTTTTAGTTTTCTTCTTCATTTTGAAGGTCAGTAAGTATTATTACTGTGCAATCATTACAAATTAAATGGCTATTTTTATGTTTTAATTTGTTCTATTAAAATAAAAATGATGTTTTATGCACAGCATCCATCTTTCAGTACAGTTTCTGTTTTCGTTGATTTATAACATGGATTTATAAATTACATATTATCCTTCTATTCTAGATAACCATAGCAAAGAATAGCAATGAGAAGGAATGGGACAATGTCCCCCCTGATGATGGCGGTAAGAAAGCAAAACAGCATCGAGCATTGATATAATTGGATATATATGTATATTCAAAATTAGAATGTTAAGACTAAATTGTGTAAATATCAAGAAAAATCTACTATGAGCTGAGTAATGAACAAATACAATTCTGTCCAAGGAAAATAGGCTGGTGAAACTGATCTTGGTATTTTTTTTGCAGTTCTTAATATGTTAGTATTTCTATAATTGCTCTTCAGGGAACTGCAACAAGAACCCAAATTATTAATAATTAATATTTTATTTTTTGCCTGTTTCTCTTGCAAATGTTAATGACATGAGAGATAATTTATTTATTGACCATTGAGGACTACCGGTAGGCCTTATATTTATAACAATCTCATGACCTATATGTGTACATGTACATTGCAAAGTGAAAGGGGTGAGGGTCTTTTATTAAACTTTGAGGAAGTTGCTTTTTTGTTGTTGGTCTTACTAAGTAAAATATTAACATACATGTAATTATACATGTACATGTACATGTATACATTTTTTATGTGATATGCATGCTCGCCCTAATGCAAGCCTCTTTTCTTCTTTTCTTCTTTTCTTCTCTCAAGGAATGGTGAAAGAGCGACCTATAGAAGCAGCAAATGAGAACACAAATCTGTTATGGTATGAAAACTTTAAAATGCACCAAATGGTGGTGGTGGTGGTGGGGGAGCGCGGGTGGGGGGAAGAGGGTGTCAAAATGGCCACCCTGAGTAGGCTAACACTTAAAGGGCAAGCCGACCCTTGTAATAAATTTGTCCTCATTTTCTATGTTTTTCTTTATATAATTGTATGTATGATTTAACTGACTCGCATTTTTAGTCTTTGGAGTTTTTGACGAAATGGAATAAAACATCATTTGAATTTGAATTGAATTGAATTTGTATGTAAGCGGAAAATAAGAGAAACTGGTGAAAGTTTGATATAACTGCATGCATGCACCATATACACTCGAAGCATGTCAGTACCGGGGGTATAAGTTGGAAATTACGTCCAAAAGGTCAACATCGGGGCATTTGGGGATATTGATCAGATTTGGGCAAAAGAAGGTCCAATGTCAAAGGTCAGCAAGTCAATTTACATGAAGATAGTTTTTTTTTTTACCTGTTATGACAAAATCAATGACTATTTTAAGCTAGCAGTGAACTTCAAACCTGTTACTCGTATGCATCAGTGGGGGGACAAGTGTTGACATTTTTAGATTGTCATGCCAAAGGTCAAAGGTCATAAAGATCAATTGACATGCAAGTATAGGCTTTTTTTGTTCTCATCATGATATTTAAAGAATATAATTCAAGCCAGGATCTTAATTGAATTTAGGCGAAGGCATATTGGAGACACAGTCCATTTGTCTTGTTATTTCTATTGGTGTACATAATTGTGACACTCTGACACTTGTAAAGTAACAATTACGTGTATTCATTTATTTGTTAGTCCCTTGAACAAAGAAGAAGAACTGAAGGAGACTGACAAAAATGCTGCATTGGGAGAACAGAATACATCACTTCCACCTGCAAGTAACAACAAGGTATCTGCATTTGTACATATATTGTCTCCTGAAGCTTGAAGAATTGTTTAAATTTAAGATATTCAAGATATACATTTTTCATGTCATTTTAAATTGGTTTGATACGTGCCGATAGATTTCTACATCCTAGAAGTCATCATTATCATATGCCCAGTCACCAAGTCCAAAACCGTCTCCCTGGTAGGGCAAAAGAGCAGCAATTTGACTGAACTGAACATTATTTTAGAAATGAAAGTGCCTCATCTGGATCCCTTTTTGTGATTTACAAACAAAAATTGCCCTTTGAAGCATCCTAAGTTCAGTATATTTGCACACATCAAATCTTTTCAAGTCATACATGCAACATAACATACACTGTACATGTAATCTATGATAGATCATGGTTATTTTTGCATCAATCCGAGCCATTTCATTCTTTTTAATGTTCTTCTCATAAATCAATGACAAGGTACAGGTTTTCAGTAAATAACTGGACATATCTCCAACCACGTTTTCATTACATTTTGTGTCCTTATAGTGCAAGACAGACCAGTTAGCATGGACATTGTTAGAGACAAAAACAAAACAAATATAGGAATGGCTGTCTCGTATTAAACCAATTTAAGATAGGCCTGGGACCCGATCCACAAAGCCTTTTTTCAATGACAAATGACAAAAATCAGTGACAAATCTGCTGATAACCAATCAGAAGCAAGGATTTCAGTAGCTTATAACAAAACCTGTCATTTGTCACTGATGACAAGTTTTGTGAAACGCCCCCCCCCCCCCCCCCCCCCCCCCCCCCGGTTATGTTAAACATATCAAAAGATATCCAATACTATTGTTTGCAGAGGGAATATTTTCTTAAGATAGGTACATGTAGCTATCACTCCATGATTTTTTTGTTAAATATCAAAAACTGAAAAAATTCAGAGCTTTGTCCAATTTTCATAATTTTGCTCTCAAAAATGTGCAAGAAAGATGTGAAAGATTTTTTTTTAAAGGCATGAAGTAAAATATGATAAAAAATGATGTATGGTTTCAATGAAAATGTACATTCTGCATTTGTGTATTTTTCTTTCACAGACATGTATTACCAAGCTTGCAGGAATTGAACCCAAGTACATGTGGATGCTCCGTTTAATACTTTTTGTATTACTTATATCAGGAGCCAATGGAATAAAAGGTTTGAACAGTGTTAAAAAATATTGTTAAATAGTTAAAATAACAAGTTGGGAAGATTCAAGCAAAAAGTATGCAATAGAAATGTATTTCATTTTCAAGAACCTTTTTATGCATAAAGACAAGATTGGCTGTGATCTACATGTACATACAACTGTCTCTATCTATTAAGGGGAAAGGGTCTTACATGCAAGAAAGGATAGAGGTGCGATCTGATAACCCATTAAAGGAATCGTTAAACAATGTTAAATCTGAGATGCATGGCCCTACGTGTTATAAGTGTCTGTGATATGGTGTAATATCGAAGCCCTTAAAAAATTGTGCTTCAAAATGATCATGAAGTGCCTCAAAAAAGTAAAAATCTTTAAGTGACCAGTTTTAGATTTTGGGATTGTCAAGTAAAATGGCAAAGGTCGTCAAGATCAAATGACATGTTTATATCAACTTTTTGTTATCATGTGATATTCCAAATATAATTCAAGCCAGCTAACTGAATTTAGGCGAAGGTATATTGGAAATGCAGTCACATTTGTCTTGTTATTTGTATTACCGTAATAACTTCATTTGTTTGTTTTTTCCTTTTTTTTTCTTGACTTCACATTCTCCAGTTGAAGAGGGGAAATACAGGAAAGTGATTATAGCAAGGAATGAGACTCAGATTGTGACTGACCCAATAGAGGGACCAAATGATGGCTCGATCTTCGCGGTCGTTGCAGAAGATGGAAATGACTGTAAAATAAGCTTTAAAGTTGACTCAGACTTTGTGATAGAAAATCAGAGTTGCTACATTGTCGTGGGGGACAAGACTAAGACCGAGTGTAAGGGATTGCAGATCATTTGGAATGGGACTCACATTTACCTTGCCGTAAATGGCTCAAAGCTGACTCACGACCGCACAGAATTCTATATATTTCAACAAGCCCCACAACACTTCTCCCTTTACGTTGTGGACGTGTACATCAATTATGATCAAGGTAATATTTTCCCTTCAACAGATATTGTTGTGTTTTGAAAGGAGAATGACATTCAACAAATAGAATGGATATCGTTATTCCTAATTGTCAGCCGTTAAAGAAGATTGTGAAATTACTCCTACACCTTATTGTTCCATATACCGTAATTTTTTTTTTTTTTTTTTTTTTTTTTTTACCTTTCTTATTTATTTACTTGTCATTAACTAATCATTTTGTATTAACAACAACAAAAATGGCAAATTTATTTCCAAAAGTTTTATAAGAAAACAAGCAATTATTAGATGATAATCTGATAATATTGCACATCATAATTTTCCTCTCCTTCATTGTAAAATTTTTCTCTTTATTTTACCTGTGTAATCCTTGGTATGTTGGTTGTAACCTTATTTATCTATAGTTTTTGTTTGGGTACATATTTGTGTATATACACAGCAGTGTTATTTTTTCAACCGTGTATATAATATATGTGACAACAACAATAAATTGATGAAAACAGCTGCACAAATATTTAAAAATGATGATAAAACCATAATTTGTATATTACTTTTAGACATTGATGAATGCGCATCTAGCCCGTGTGTGAACGGAGGAACGTGCGTGGATGGACATGACTCATACACCTGCAACTGTGCAAAAGGCTACGACGGAGCTGACTGCGAAATCGGTAAGTGTTCGCAAATTTATTATAATTATTATTTAAGTGAGAGTCTGGACAGTGTATGTGAATTTTGCACGTAGTTTGCACAATCTTTGCAACAGAAGTGGTGCTAGAACTTGTAGAAATTACAATTTTGGCATTAATTAATTCTAGCGTAATCTTAACGTGATTTTAACCATAGGATATAAAAGAGGTTATTGAAATCGCGGTTGAGTTGATTTTTCAAAAGTAGTTGTGATCATGTATCAATCCTATTACTGAAGCAATGGCCTAGACCAAATGGATTTTTTTTCAAGCAAAGATATCTCTGAATCATTTTGAATGGAAAGGGATTGGTGGGGGAGGATAGGTGGGGATGTGGCATTACATTTTGCTAAAAGTTAACTGCTAAATATTCAACAAGACATTATAAAAAGCTCCCCAGGTTTTTAAGTTTCCCTAGACGGCTGAGGTTCACCCCAAAAATGTTTCCAGCAGCCCCCATCAAAAAGTCTTAAATTTGCTACTTTTCTTTCTTAAAAAAATCAAAAAAATCGGATTTTTTTTATTTAAATCGGATTTTTATGATTTAAATCAGATTTTTTTGATTTTTTTTCCAACGAAAAATAATGGTCACACTTAACAAGTTTTAGACTATATTTAGACTGTTTTACACCAATAATAGTGGTCAAGTAGTCTTTTGAACATTGTGTATTGTACTATTTGACACAATAATCCACTTATATACAGGTAATTTTTTTTTTTTTTTTTTTTATTTATTTGCATTATAGAGAGGGACATTTTATGGAAGCCCAAGTAATGTTATGTATTATGTATACATTTAAACTCTTGAAATTTTTATATCAGTCTGTACGTTAACATCTAATTTGAATGTAATATTTAACCAGATTTGCAATAGGCACTTCCTGATATGCTTGTAACAAAATACACATTTTATGTTTTCATTACAGTGTAACCTCAGTTCCAAATAAAACTTCAATAAATTTCGTTGCAAGATGCAGGATAAGCACCACTGTCCACCACATCATTGATGTGCTGTTTTTTCAAACTATTACATGAACAAGCAAGCACAGCAGTTGTATTGCTGCATACAGTAACACTTGCCCAGCAACTTTCCCATTTTTAAATTCTTACTTATTAAGTATACATGTGTCCTTTGAAATTGTGTAATTGAATGTATGGGTATTGATAAGAAAATACACAAGCATGCAAATATACATGTAATTCTTATCAAATGTACACATATGCCTTCAACTTAAGTAATTGAAAGAATGGGTATTAATAGTAACAAGAAGGAGGTACATACAAGTAGTTCAGCTGTTTTGTAAAAGTATCCAAGTTGTGGACTTTGAGCACCTTTGTAGATTTTATATATTATTTTATTGAAGATTTAACAGTTTGGTGTACATACAGAGAGTTATTTATCATTACTTCGTTAGAAACTTGTTGTTTTCATCAGTTTTGCTTGTTTTACAATTTGAAAATAAAACAGCGGTGTTAAATCAGACTCCATGAGGGTGTATCATTCTTTTAAAGTATCTCTAAAGCATGTGGAACAGAAATGAAAATGATTACATTGAAAGTATCTGTTAAGAAGAAGAGAAAATAGAGAAAACTAATTTTTTTCATAAAAGTTGATTTAAATCAGTGATTTTTTTTGAAAAAAATCAAGTGATTTAAATCGCGATTTAAATCATGATTTAAATCGACATGATTTAAATCAAACAAGATCAGGGTAATATTTTCCCTTCAGCAGATATAGTCGTGTTTTAAAGGAGAATGAAATACCCCCCAAAACAGAATGGATATCGTTATTCCAAATTGTGAAATTACTCCTACACCTATTTGATTACTCAGCAAGGAAACCTATCTCTCCAAGGTTTGCAATTTCCTTGTTTCCCATCTCCCATGTAAGTCGCCATGTTGATTAAGTTGTATAACTTATGAACACAAAAATGAATGCAAAAGCTCTCACCTTGCAGGGGGGGGGGGGGGGGAGTGAACATGCATCCCAAACCTGATGCCAAATCCCAGATATACCACTTATATTTGTTTTCAGAGGTCGGAAGCAAGAGAATAATGGGTTCAGCATATTTTTTTTTTCCCTGAAAAACATACCAGTCTCTGATATTTTAAAGTCCAACGAAAAGCCTATTCGTGTTTAGATGCATACATACAGGTATATTCATTACAGCAAACCTTTACAAGGCATAGTGAATACAGTGCATCCTTTTTGAAAATATTTTTGTTTCTTCTTTCACATCAGATTTTGATGAGCTTGATGGATTATATGCAAGAGGAAAAAGATATTAAATGAATGTCTTGAGAACTCTAAGTTGGACTTAAAAAGTATGGAGAGCCATCTGTAGCTTTAAAATAAATCTATTCAAAAGTGAAAATTGAAGTATTTTAGAATTTTTATCAATTCCACATTAAGAACATGAAATCTTATAGATAATAGAAAATATGAATGATTTGGACCAAAATGTTATGCTTCTTAAAATAACTTTTACAAAATATTTTCATAGATGCTAATGGCTTTCCATAATTGTTAAGTCCAACCTAGAGATAAGTTCAACTTAGGATCTTTGTTAAACACCCCCCCCCCCCCCCCCCCCCCCCCCCGGTGATGTATGTATCACCATGAGAAGACAATCTGATTAAATTTGGTGGTATATAGGTGATCTAGGTCAAAGTTCATAAAGGTCAATTTCCATTAAATCTCAGGGTATAAGCCCTGTCATTGCAATGTATTAGTTATGATTGAGCCATGAACTCCAATCTTGGTATTAGTGTGCATCACCACAGTGAGACAAGTTGATTAGAAGTTGGATTTAAAAAAGGTAAAATTGTCAAAGTTAGCTTGATCAAATCAACAACTTTTTAAAATGTATGAATTGTATGCATCACTACTGTAGGGAGCAAAGTGATCAGATTTTAGGATCGTTGGGTTAAAGGGCATAGATTTTAATGATCAAATGACATGTTAATATATGCTTTTTGTTTTCATTGTGATATTACAAGAATAATGCAAGCCAGGATGAATTTAGGCAGAGGTATATTGGAAATGGAGTCACATTTGTCTCATTATTTTTATTACTATCTTCATTTGTTTTTTTCCATTTATCTTGACTTCACATTCTCCAGATATTACTCAACAGGAGTTCCCCAGGAACATAACTAAAGCACCCAACGAGACTATAGACGCCACTGACCTAGTTCCCATACCAGGTATAAAATAGGTCTTGATTCTTAATTCAATTCAGTTCAATTTCATTTCATTCATTTAAAAAAAACATAACATATAACATTAAGATACAGTACGTCCCAGAAAAAACAAAACCGAGAATTATCGACTCAATCACAATTATAATTAATAAATGACACATATTTGTAAAGCTTATCTTCCTCTTTAATTTGATGCAACTCATATGATGCATATTTCACGCATGAGTGATTAAAAACAATTTGAAGAGAGGAAACCAAAAAGTAATTTGGCAGGCGGTATCTGAATTTCAAAGAGAAAATAACATTTCTAGAAAGTTCAATTTCTGCCCTTTCATATGACACCTCAATCAGGAAAAATGAGTCAGGACTAACTAACTAAGTTCTGTTTGTTTAAAGTAATTCTTGCATTTCCATAATTTGATTAAACGAGTTCATTTTCGCTGCCTGCCGTAGCAACAAACAGAGTTGACAAAAGATTTAACTCCGTTTTGTTGACGATCAGCCATGCACAAAGAATACAAAAGACTTGATGCATGGCTTATCGTCAACGAAATGGAGTTAACACTTTCTAGAAATGTCATTTTCTCTTTGAAATTCGGATACCACCCACCAAATAACTCTTCCAAATCCTCTCTTCAAATTGTTTTTAATAACAAAGTTATGATAAAACATTGATAAATTCTCAGTTTCGTTTTTTCTGGGACGCACTGAATATTACATAAAATACACATTAAAAACATATTGGACATCGGTCATAAAAATAAACTGAATAGGCTGCAACCTGAAATCTTTTCAAGAGGCGGAAATGACCCTGGAAGCTATGAATATACCTTGGCTTTTGTTGCAAATATAAAAATTGCAGCATTGTCGTGGGGGACAAGAATAAGACTGAGTGTGAGAGATTGCGGAACTCTGGGAATCTCCACCACCCTACCTCACCTCCATCTCTGATGCCAAATCCCAAATAAGCCACTGATATTTGTGTTTCACAGGTTGAAAGCAAGAGTGAATAATGGTTCTGCATATATTCTTTTTCCCCTGAAAAACATACCAGGCTCTGATATTTTAAAGTCCAAACAAAAAGTGTACATGTTTAGATGCATACATACATGTATATTCATGAGAGCAAACCTTTCAATAGCATAGTGAATACAGTGCATCCTTTTTTTAAATATTTTTGTTTCTTCTTCCACATCAGATTTTGATGAGCTTGATGGATTAAATGCAAGAGGAAAAAGATATTAAATGAATGTTGTCTTGAGAGCAATTTGTTATAATTGGTGCACATGTTTTTCTTGTTATTTGTACCACTTGTATTTTCGTCTAGTTTTAAAGATTTTTTTTTCTTCTTTTTTCTCAGCTCCTGATTGTACATACTGGAAGAAGGCCTTCGACATCGTTGTACCACTTCTGTGCCTACTTTGTGTAATCTTGGTAATCGGAAACATCCGTGAGAGGTTGAGAAGTAAGTTTAAGCAGCAACATGCTTTATTCATCCTTGGTCCTTGTCGCAAGGATAGTTGCTTGATTTGCTATTACATGTAGGTTGTTGTTGTTGTTGTTGTTGTTTTTATATTTTGTTTGTGTGTGTTCACAAGATATAGAATCTACTACATTTCAATATCTACATTGCATATCACAAAAGTACACACATTGAAAATATCCTCAATAAACTTAAACTCATGATTAATATCTTCTTATGCAATTTTTGGTGAATGTCTATTCCATCAGATGGCACTTATATTATTGGTATGCTTGAGTGAGCTAATTTCGAAAAAAATTGTAAAAATTTGTTAGCACAAAACATTTTCAGTCTAAAATTAAATCAAAGTTAAAAGCAGGCAGTTATTGTATGTTGTTCATCAATAATGATTTGAACAATCATTTCACCTAGTGGTGTATCCAGAAATTGATCAGGGAGAGGGGAAGCATCGTCCCAAGACCTGGGTTTGGTAAATTTATCCTGGCAGCCCCTTTCTAGTACCCCCTATAGCAAGTTTCTCTGAGTTTTTCTTGGACCTTCAAGAAGCTACACTTAGTCTAGCTTCACCCAATGCTGGATACGTCACTGCCACACCACAGCCTCCGTCTTAGGCAAACAAAGGGAACAAGTTACATGATATCAAAAATTATTTTTTATTTCTCTTTTATGAATATTGAACAATTTATGTACATCTTTTGTACTGCATTACATTCCGTCAAAATTCTAAAGACAAAAATGGAAATTCAGTGCAGAGGAGACAATAATCTCCTATGTTATATGTGCAACTAGGTGCACATGCAAGTATATGGGTGTGTGTGGAGGGGGAGAGGGGGGGGGAATGCACGATTGCAGATGTAAGTTCAAAGATAAACTTATGCTTCAAAAAATCATTGACAGTTAACAGAGCAACTGCAATTGATGCCTGAAGTGCACTTTGCTCCAATTTAAGACATTTTTGTGCGAACAAATTTTTTGCAAGATTTTCAAAATTAGCCAGTACTCACTCAAAACATTTTGTCAATACTTTGAGTGCCATCTGATTGAATAGACCTTTCACCCATAATTTAATATGAAGAAATCATGCATATATCATGAAATCATCATTTTGGGGGATATTTGTGTTTCCATTTTTTTAATGCTAAGTAGTATCAAGAAATTTGAAACACTAACGGTTACCAACAAAAATTATGTGTGTTTGTGTATCCTATTTTTCTTCAAATAGTATTCAATTTACGTCTTTCATTCGCATAAACAGACTTTTCTATTGTTATTAAAATCAACAATAGTTTTGGAAATTTCAAATATTAAAAACATTCTATATAACATTTACAAATATTTATTCAAGAAGAGACATTTAAATTAATTAAAGTGGTGAATTTTATTGTATACAATTTTGCTATTGTTTATTACCGGTATATTATATTTTCCTCAACTTGTGCTGTTTAAAGGTGTCATACTGTAGGTGGTAATTAAAAGAGCAAAATACAACTGTTTGAGAAAGTATCAGTTTTCCATTCCTTTTGTGCTTAAATCCCCCACACTTGCTCCACACATTTTTGTGGGATTCTAAGTTTACTTTTATATTCAACCCTTTCATATGCAGACAAATTGATGGAACGAGTACTCACAAAAGTCCCTGATGAAGACCCGGACACTACAGCCCTTGATAATCTTGAGTAAGAATTAATTTTCTCTTTTAAGGTGCATGTAGTAAAAGTCCAAAAATAGATTTCCTTTGTTTTTCTTTATATGTATATAAGTGTAGAACATTGAAGTTAGTTTTAAAGAAGAAAACGACAACATAGTTGTTTATTATTCAAATATACATATATGTTGTTATATAATGTACATGTAGAATTCAGATGTGTATTTGTTATTGTTTATGAAATGAAACTTATAAAATCAAAAGTCAATGCATTTCCCGAGTAAATTGAAGTTTCTTTCTAAAGTTTTTACCAACAAGTCAGAACAACACTGACAGGGCAAACATGTGCTCTGGATCAGGTCTAACAGCCCATTCCATTAAAAATGAACTGAATATGAAAGTACTCACCTTTTTAATGAAAGGGGGGGGGGGGTTAATGTGTGAAGTGGGATGAGAGAGTGGCTTTACATGTGTGCAGTATACTATGATCCATGAGCAGACACGTACACAGGATTTTTTCAAGGGGGGGGGGGGGGGGGGGGGAAGAGGACATTTTTTTTGGGGGGGGGGGGGGATCTCAAAAATTTCGCAACGACTCAGCCATCCACTGAATAAGTGGTGGGAGTAAGGGGAAAGAGCTATTTTTTTTTTTTGGGGGGGGGGGGGGTAAGGTCAGCTTTTTGGGGTCACCCATTACCACAATTTGTTATTTTTTTATTTTTTAAAAATTAAAAACAAACAAAGGGGGGGGGGTTCAACCACTCAACCCCCCCCCCCCTGCGTACGCGCCTGTCCATGAGCATGTTATCGTAATCTTAACTGGGGGATCAAATGTGGATGGGGGGGGGGTAAAAAAAAACATGACCTTTTTTAGGGGTAAAAATATAAATGTTGATATTTAATTTGTATTGTCACTAGGCACATTGTTGATGGACAATATAGTACTGCAACTTTGTCCTATTTTGTTTCTGTTTAATTTGCAAGACAAATAATATAAACCATGCTCCAAAATAAGAATTGATGGTATGGTATACAAATGGAGACTGTTGGTTCATGCCAGATCTCATTGTTATATTATTTTTTTCTATTCTCTACAGTAGGACGAATGGTCATGCTGTCCAAAGCTAAACGAGGAGATGAAGGAGCTACCGAGTTTCGCTTTCCAGTACAAGGCCTTTGGGAGGGGGGGGGGGGGATTCATTTGTTTGTTTTAGGTTGTGTTTAATTTTTTTCAGTTGGGTATTGGACGTTAGCACATTTTTAATCTTCCTGTACATCCAAGAGATAGGATAGTCCCTACCAAGTTTTATTTCAACTTGCACTCAAAATGAGATGGGCGATAGCGTTAGAGTCGCGCATGTTTATTACTATAGTTTCTGGAGAGGTAATTAAAGATAAAATCTGAGATTTAAAGTGGTCTCAGATTACTTATTATATCTATTTTTTAAAGATAAAATCAAATATTTGGGAGATAAAATCTTGCTGATCAGAATACCACCCCTGGGTGTTATATCCTGCATACAAAATGTATTGTTTTTTGCCTTTGAGAGCTCTTCACGTGACCAGAAACATTTCAACCTTTTTTACAGTTGCTCTGAAACAGTACTATTTAGGAATACTAGAAGTACTATTTTGAAGTAGAAGTACTATTTGGTAGTACTATGTGGGAGTTGAAAATTCAGCAAGCGTACAGGATTTCAAATGCCTCCAGCAGGCAACTCCCGCGGTGTCACGGCGCTCACTCCATACAATTTACGCTGAGCCGCAGTACCTGTGTAGCCTCAGCTAATAATACATTCTTCAATGTTTCATTTGGTCTTCTTGTTGTAAAATTCACCACACAGCTATTAAAATGGAACTGTTGTGGATGAATGAAACATTGAGGGATGTAAATATGTTTGAAACATCATTCGTTAAACATCTGAGACACTGTAATCGTTGAACGTTGATTAATCATTGATGTTAGAACTTGTTGGAGATGTATTTGGATTTGTTGGAAAACCAGTTGGAAACCTCGAGGCAGGAGCAATCATCTCTTGCCAATAGTTTTAACCAGAACCTCTCAAGAAAGTGTATATTTGTATACTACATATAGACCATGTCTTGATAATACATGTAGTTTACCATGTTAATAACCCTTCTGTATATTAGTATGAATGATGTACAGTCAAACCTGTTTTAACACATATTGTGTTTCTTCTAAAACGTGTCTTTATGTAAACATGTCAAGACCATGTGCCTGGCTAGAGAGACCACTTTTTGTATCTCCTTTTGGTGGTCTTTCTATACAGATTTAAATGTATATACTGCTCCTAGTTTTAAAGAGTTTGTGATTGTTATATGTTTCAGATTGTAGTTTTACACTGTAGTACATTTTGTAAATAGAGCACACATGTACATTAGTTTGTGCCTGAACTTTAATTCGGGGACAGTTCCATATTTTTGAAAATCTGTAAATCACAGTTTTACAACAACATTCCCTAAAGGAGCCCACGTGATCAGATGTGAATTTGTAGTTTATTTAGAGAGTATATCTCAATGTGTTCAGGTTGTAAACAGAATCTTTTTACTTGGTGGATAATATAAAGGTTTCAATGTATATACTGCTCCTAGCTTTAAAGGGTTGTTATGGTTATATGTTTCAGATTGTAGATTTACACTGTATAGGTACATTTTGTAAATACACTGTACAACACACATGCATTTACATGTATGGTGGTGTGACCATAGTTTGTGCGTGACCTTTAATTAACAAACAGTTCCATGTCTGAAAAAAAATCTGTTAGATATTGAAAAATCTAATACATGCATGTATAACCAATGGAAAAAGGAACATAAAATGACCTACAGATGAAAGTTCTTTGGAATAGGGGGTGAAATTATGAAAATATTGACAAAAGATCAGCAAATTTTGCAGTCTTTTGCATCTGTTCCGATAAAAATATGAACCTGCTGACAATGATATAGAAATCTTCATTTTGAAAGTAAAAAAAGCGAAAGCAGCTGATTGAATGATATTTTGACTTTTAATTCATGCAATTACCTTTGATGGATCGCTTTTTTTGATAAATGACTTGTACAATCTTGTACGCGAATTAAGGACTCATTGTTTTCTTTTGTTAAGTTTATTTGTATAGCACATTCCGATCAGACTCGGACTAGTTCCACCCATTTGTAGACTACAATGTGGATGTTCATTTGGTACTAATTGATTTGCATATAATATGAGAAATCCTGAGTCAAATATAACATTCCTATTTTGTTTTTAATGTCCACAAACTTTGGTCACCCCATCAAACATATTTAACTTGAATTCACTTATACATGTTCATGTTTCTTAAATACATTCCTATTTTTGGCTTGATTTCAATGTATGTACATGTAAGTAGAACATTTTTTGTTTGTATATAATCTGACAATGTACTATCCATAGATTTTAGCAATGTCTCTTAAAGAGAAGGTTGAGTTCTGGCAAAAGGTCACAAATAATTTGTGAGCGTTATCATTGTATTATGCAAGTGTGGAAGAACATCAGATAAAAAATGTTCCCTGAAAAGCTTGGCTCTTCAAATGCCTTAATATTCTAAATATGACAAGTAACAGCTTAAAAATGAGGCCCGATTTTTATGCCACATATTTGTGTAGTCCCATGTACTTATTTCTGTGTGCAGTGCTTGTTCCTCTACCAAGACTGGGCCAAATTTCATTTTGATGACTCCAGAGCCTATGCTACATGATAAACTCTTTCTGATATTCCACACCGTTTCTTTCACAGTGCAATCGCATGACCAGAACTCAACTTTATCTTTAAAAGGGGACTAAAAATCATAATGTATATGCTTTGGGTTCATGGCTGCATGGGATCACCCCTGGGTTTTACTGTAAAAAAACATATATATACATGTCGAGCTGTCACTTTAGAATATTGCCGTAAATGTTAAGGTAGATTTGTAATATAACACTGTTCTGTCGTATGTTAGATATTGATTGCCTGGACTTAAATAAAGCAGAATTACTTTAACTGCATATACTTGAGCCTGCATCCTTATTTTCTGGATTTACTTCAGTAGTTTATTTAGACAGTGTATCTTAATGCTTACAGTTGTAAACAGGATCTCTATTAATTTGGTGGATTATATGCATTTCTTACCCCATTTACTTCAACTTTAACAGGTGGGGGATGTTTCGTCAAGTAATATCACATGTGCCTCGCAAACAAAGACAGAAACAATTACGAACAACTTCTAAAACAAAGTCATGTATTTTTGTATTTTGTAGCTTTCTATGACACAACGAACAAATGAAATGCACAGAGAGATGAAGTATTTAAAAAAGAAGAGAACACAACATCAAGCAGATCTAACGAAAGCAAAAATGGAACAACTTCCCTCCTTTAGCAAGGAGACATTAAGAAAAGAAAAGGGGAATACTATACCCATGACCTATCGATGATCAAAGAGGTCCAGGGCCCTGCATCATAAAGAGTAGTGATCGATTGAAATAAATTGCAAATGTACTTAAATGTACTATTTCCCTATTGCAGCCAACCTCAAATTCTGTAGAAATTTGCAGGAATTATGAATATGTCATGTATGTCCTATCTGTGAAATTTAAATGTTAGCAGCGTCCTAATATTCAAATTATGCAAGGAAACCTGTTTACTTGCTAGACTTCACTGTCCGACACTATTGAGTGACTGACTGGCTATTTTTCTTCTTTGATAATTACATACATAGAATGAGCTGTAAAGGGTACATGAGCATTTGTCTACATCAATAAAACGTATGACCATTCAGTACAATGGTCTGAAAATCAAGACTATCATTTATTGGCTCTATAGCTCCTAAGTCGATTTGACAACTAATAGTCGTTATTTTCCCTCTTGAAGACATTTTCAAGCCCCTATTTTTTTTAGGGAAGTTCTAAATTAGTATTATCTTTCAAATGCGGTTGGCATTGACCTTTTCCTTTTTTTGGCCTGCAAATGGGACATAGTACCTTTAAGAGATAGGAGTTGCAATTAAGTTCAAGTTGCCATTGATTTGAATCAAATGCAACTCGTTATAGGATGGGCCCCAGAACGCCAAATCATTGATGATGAGGGTCCAAACATTCTTAAATCAGAAGAAGAACATGCTCTACATTCACTGAGAGCTTCGATTTAAAGCTGAAGGTCCAGATGGGATGGCAAAAGAAAAACTTGATAGCCTAAAAGAATTAGGTATTGAACATTTGACCAACATAATGCCAGAATATATATACAACACACATATTCCTGAGGATATGAAAAGTCCATATTTGAGCGACTCCCTTAGAAAACTTGGGTACTATACGTGAAGTTTTCAAGACTACATTGATTTGTGAATTATGTAACCAAGTTGCTCTGGAAGATCATACTAAATAGAATAAAAGATCAAATTGAAAAAGAAGTAGGTCAGGAACAGTTTGGTTTCAGACCTCAAAGTGGTGTAAGGGAAGCCAGAGTCAGTATGAGAGTACTAGAATAAGTGTCATAATATAGATAAATAGATATCCTTTAACTTTTACTATGTGCAATGTTCAGTCTGATATTAGTTTTAAATGTTGAATTATTAACGATTGAAAGTCCCTTTTTACACTTATTATGAAATAAGAGAGAGGGTGAAATGAGAGGGACGGGAGCTATAGGGGAGAAGAAAGATGGGAGTGAGGAGAGAAGAGGGTGAAAGAGAAAGAAAGAGTATGGGAATAGCACATTTGGGAAAGAGAATACTATGTACGAGGGGCATGTGGAACACGAGGTGAATGGGATGACGCCCTTACCAAGAACTTGCAGATGCATTGGTGAATTTTAGTCTCTTGACTCCTTTCAGTTCAAGAGGGGGGGGGGGGCGGGTAAAAGGCACTTTCCCCCCTTTTCTTCCAACTTTTAAGGAAATATTTTGCGCCGACTCGGGGGAGGCAATTTTTTTTTTTTCTTCCCAATTCGAGAGAACATTTCTTTCTTTTTTTCTCTTTTTTATATTTATTTCCTTTTGGGGGGGCAGGGGGGCCGGGACCGTCGCCCCCCTCCCCATCCCCACCCCCCCCCTCCCCCGCCCGCCGTGGATCCGCGCCTGAGTCCATCACCCACATAACGGCCGGCAGACATATTTTGTTTAAAAAGAGGACAGCTGGAAGGCAGTTAGCCTGGAAGGAGCAGCAACAGCTGAATTAAGGAGGCATTTTAGGAAGATGACAATATATACATCAATGATGTAGTAAGAGATGAAAAGCGGATAAGTCTATATATTGTTCTATCAAAGGATTCAACTGTGATGGTATCAACAATTTTCCGTCAAGTTTTTGTTGGTTCCCCTTTTCCAAAATGTATAATCACGCCCCTAACTCTGAAAAGGTAGTGT